TCTCTGTGGGGGCACCTACGATCTGGAACGAGCTCCCCCCGGAGATACGGAGGATCCCGGATCTGCGCACCTTCCGCGCTTAAGACTTTTTTTTTTCCATCAAGCTGGCCTGGCCTAAATCTTCTCCCCTTTTTAAATGTAAATTTTAATTTGTTTTTAAATTATGGGGTATTTTAAATTTGTTCAGCCAAATTATTTAATTCGTTTTTATTTTATTTTAAATTTTTGTATTTATGTGTTTTATCTTGTGGCTGTTCACTGCCCTGAGTCCTTCGGGAGAAGGGCGGTATAGAAAGTTAATAAAATAAATAAAATAAATAAATAAATTCCTCAGCCCTTATAATGGGGGAATAATAGGGTAAACCATTTATCTTTAAGACTTCCCCAACCACACATTTATCGTTAGTAACTATAGCAGTTCCATCTGTGAACAACACTGCTATCTTAGTGTTTTCATTTAGTTTCACTGTGCTGAGCAAATTGTGATCAATATCAGGTACATATAAAACACCACTGACTTCCCCAAGCCCGGGAATAAAAACCTTCCCAATATTGGCAATCCCCATGTAGAGCGTGTTGCAATAATCTAACCATGAGGTGACAAGGGCATGAGTGACTGTGAGGAGAGCCTCCTGATCCAAGTAGGGTCGCAATTGGTGCACCAGGCGAACCTGTGCAAAGGTCCCCCTAGCCACAGCTGCTAGATGTTGCTCTAATCTTAGCTGTGAATCTAGGAGGACACCCAAATTGCGAACCCGTTCTGAGGGGGACAATTTCTCCCCCCCCCGAACCAGGGATGGACAATCGACATAGTCTTTAGGAAGCAATACCCACAGCCGCTCGGTCTTGTCTGGGTTAAGTCTGAGCCTCTTGACTCCCATCCAGACCCTCACAGCCTCCAGGCACTGGCACATCACATCCACCGCTTCACTGAACTGACGCGCAGGCACACAACCCATTTCTTCCTGAACACCAAGTTGTAAAGGCCTCCTCTGTTGCTCCTCTGTAGAAGATCTCAGGCCTGCCCCTGGGACCTCAACGTCAGTTGTTACAGTCCCGGAAATGGCCCCAAGAGCTGGAGATGCCATGAGAGAACCCATTACATTCGAAACAGATAAGGAACGGATCCCAGTCATCGGGGGGGTGTCTAGACGGGTCGCTGTCATGCGTTGGGTAAAAGGTGGCTGAAAAGTAGCTCCAAAAGCTGCTGTTAATATTCCGATCGCATTTGCGATCTCAAGTTCGGTAGGCGAACTTCTTAGACTTGTTACTGGGGCTGCCATGACCGGATTGGTCATCTGGATGATGGTCCGCCTGACAAACGCCAGTGGCATCCCTGGCACATCTGAAATCAGCAATGTTGCTGTCGTCGGGGGGGGGGGGGCTAAACTTCTGGTTGGCAGATCATTTTGGGTCACCATCGCGGTAGGTGCTGTCTGATGGGTGACCTCAGTCCCAGTATCCACACGCCTTCGCGGACCATCAATAGCTGGTTGAACAATAGGTGGCACCATATTAATTTGGCCACCTTGAATTGAGGGCTGGCCGGGCGCCATGTTGTTTGGTGGGAGATTTAAAGCAGATAATCTATAGTCCTTCTCCCTCGACTCATGGTCAGTAAAAGGGGTTGCAGGATAGGATTGGGTATGTCTTACCAGTCCAGCGCTATCCTGGATTTCTCTCCCATCCCTTGTTGCTGTCGCCATGGCTGTAGACTGTAATAAGGCACTGATGTCAGCAACTGGATCCTCACTTGTTACCGGTAAGCCAAAAAACCAAAGTATCGCTGTCCTCATTTCATCCCTTCCCTCTGGATTTGCATTCGAGGCCAGAAGGGGCGTCCTTCTGGCTTCTGCTTCTGCAGATGGGCGGGGGGCTCACTCACAGCGGTGAGCAATTTGAGAGCCGGGGGATTCATCTCTGGATTCATCGTCCCTTTGCTCTCCTGCTCTGTTGGTGCCTGGAGCAACAGGCAGCTGAAGTCATCCTTGCCTTGGATTCCATCAGTCTGCCTTGCAGCGTCTTGCTTCTGGTAGAGGCTCAAGTTTCAACTCTTTTCTTCTGTGTTGGCTTAATTATGGGCATGCCTGTTTAACACATTGTAATGCAAATAGGGTCTTTAACCATCCTCTGCTACCAACTGTTGTGGAGGTATTGTAGACCACAGACCTATCCGCTTACAAATGCATCAAACAGACAAGATGGAGAGGAGTTTAAAAACAAACTAGTTTAATAGAAACAAACAAAACAAAATCTACAAAAAGCATCAGTAGTCATCTCCCTTTCAGCAAAGTCCATTTAGCTCTTTTTGCAATTGCTCCATGCGGTTGGAGCCCAGGTCTTCCTTCCCCAGAAGGAGGCCAAGTGACTTCAGCTCTTGTGTGTGACCTGGAAGAAGGGTTAGGCACAAGGTGCAGTGTGTGTCTGTGTGCTAGCGGCCAGAGCAGCTCCTTATATACTGAGTGAATGTCAGTTACAAAGCCCCGGAAACTTAGTCAATTGCTGTGCGCTAACTGGTCCATTCAAACATTCAAACCAGAAACCAATAAAAACCAATCAATAGGCACAGCAAACCATGAGAGAAGTTTTCTCTCACAATAACCATTTGTGATTTGTGCTTTTCTGAGTCCTGTTTGTCTTTCTGACTGCCTCGCGGGCTGCTGTTGCCAGTTCATGGCCGGCTGGTTGGCTTGACAAGCTTTTGCAATGTGATCTTTTCTCTTGCATCTTTGGCAAATTGCATCCCGGAATCAGCAGCTCGCTCTGGGATGATTTTACCCACAGCCGGCACAAAATTGCGATCTGTCTCACGTCTCTGAATTCCCTGTCTTCCCTTTGGATCATAGGTGATGGATTTCATCGTCTTCATCTGTGGACTCTTTGGGCTCCCAGCTCTCCTGCTGTTTTTTGTGGCATGTTTATGTTTTCTGTTTTTTTGATAGCTGCTGCTGTTCTATCAGTTGCTTCAGTTGCTCTGACTTCCTCTAAGGCTGCTTTAAATGTGAGATTAGGTTTGGATAGCAGACTTCTCTGTTAATGGAGGTCTCTCAGTCCAAATACAAGTCTATCTAGCATTGCTTCTTCTATATTACTGAATTCACAGCGAGTCGCAGTTTTTCGTAGAAAAGCGACATACTGATTGACTGTCTCACCTCATCTTGCTTCCTGTGGTAAAAATCGTGTTTGTAAACCATCGGTGAGGGTACGGGTGCATAATGTGCTTTGAGCGATTCCTGGAGTGTCGGCCATGACACCATCTGTAAATCAGCTGGTTCTGATATTGCTTCAGCCATATCGAGGACTTTGGGTCCCCAGTAACTCAGGAAAAGCACCTTTTTCCTATTATCCGATAGACCAAATAGATCATTGGCTTCCAGAAAGCAATTGAATCGGAGCATATATTTTAGCTGGATTGAATAGAGCGAGTGGGGCGTACGTGGTCATTTTGGATGCCAATGCAGATGTTCAGTTGCTGCGATAATGGCCGATGTCATGTGGATGCCCAGTTCAGCTCAGCTTTGTTGTCCTTTGTTCTTCTCAGATCCCACCTTCGTCGGCAGTGTTGAGTGGGGGGTCAAATGAAGAGGCAGGACTCTGATTAGTGATTTCAGTCTTTATTCTGAGGCTTGGAAAAACTTCTCAGCTGGTTGACCGACAGTGCCCTCTTTTAAAAGGATCTGTCAGGCAGCCCGGCCACTGACATTGCTTCATTTTCCCACTGCCTGAATGAAAAAAAAAGGGGGGGGGAAATGGACCCAGGAAACTAGGGACCAATCAGCCTGACATCAGTTCCTGGGAAGATCCTGGGAAAGATAATCAAGCAATGGATCTGCAAACACCTACAAACAAGCAAAGCTATTACTAGAAGCCAACATGGGTTTGTCAAAAACAGATTATGCCAAACGAATTTACTGCATTCTTTGACAAAATGGCTAAGTTAGTGGATCAGCAAAATGCTGTCCACATAGTTTACTTGGATTTTAGTAAGGAATTTCACAAAGTAAATCATAGCCTACTTCCTGGTAAGACAGAAAAATTAAAGTACACAGTATCATCACCAGATGGATTTGTAACTGGCTGATCAACTACATTCAACATAGTCCTTAATGGACCACAGCTACCTGGAGGAAAGTAAGCAATAGGATACTTCGAGGTTCTGTTTTGGGCCCAGGATTCTTCAATACTGAAGCTGTTGTGATGATTAGGACCTGAGTGCAGTTTTAGTCAGAAAGTCCATAAAGACTTTCCAGCCACTAATAAATGTAAGATAATGGCAGGTACATATTTAAGGATTGTCCTGGCCATACCTGCTATGCCCCAGAAAGGTGACCTGGATTGGCAATGCTTCAGATTGTCACTTCTTCCGGTGTCAGAGCACCTTCTGTCCAAGATGGTTGACACTTTTTTTAAAAATTTGATTTATATGCCGCCCTTCTCTGGAGACTCAGGGCGGCTTACAATGTGTTAAGCAATAGCCTTCATACTTTTGTATATTTATACAAAGTCAGCTTATTGCCCCCACAAACTGGGTCCCCATTTAACCTACCTTAGAAAGGATGGAAGGCTGAGAACTTTGAGCCTGGTGAGATTCGAACTTACAGTAATTGCAGACAGGTGGTGTTAATCACAATGCTTTTAGTCTGCTGAGCTACAGAGGCTCAAGACACTTGTGCTGTGGAGTGCTTGTTCTTAGAAATCAAGCCACTATCTTGCTGAGTTTGAACTGAGGCTTAATAATTTGCTGCTCAGCTTCACGTCCTGCTCGGCTGGCCAGCTTCTCTGCACTCGACCACGATTTGGGATAGCAAAAGCCAGAACCGTTTCTCCATTTATTCTGCCACCCTGTAGCGCCAGGAGCCAAGGACCGCTTGACGGACACTGTGGCTTTTCCTACAAAGATCGAGCTGCACTCACGCACACACGGCGGAGGAGGGGGGCGTTGCCTCCCTGGCCAGCCTCTCCCCCGCTCCCGCCTCCTCCGACTACAAGCCCCAGAGCAGTTTAGGCTTGGCACGCAAGCGGAGGAGGCATCCGAGGAATTTGCTTCCCGCAGAGCGCGTCCCACGGTCCTTGGGCTGAACGTCTTTTCACTTCTCTTGCATGGGGCACGGCAGGACGGAGTCGCCCGTGGTTGAGTGATGGCCCAGCCTTTACTCAGGAAAACTTTATCCCGGCTGAGGAGCAAGGAGCGCCTGCGGAGCAAAAAGGCGGCGCCCGCGCCTCAGAACGAACCAGGTACTCGAGGGAGGCACAGGGTCTGGGCTCCCTTCTCTCGTCCCCCCGCCGCGGGCACACAGACACCTTGCCCGACAGGAGGGGGCTACTGTAGACATCTTCGGCATTTCCTCCTCAGCTGTTCCTGAAATAGGCAAGAGGAAACAAAGGGAAGAGGCTACCGAGCTGTAGCGCAATCCTTCTTTTCGCGGTGGCACTGAGGGAGCTCAACCGACGAGGCCCAAGTTCCAGAGCGAATTAGTGAGGCAGTTCTATAGACGGCCCCCATTTTTCTGCCCGGCCCCGGCCGGCCCCGGCCTTCGGATTGAGATGGAAAACGCCTCTTGTGCCTATCGGCCCGTTGAGTAATGGGGAAGTGGGGTGAACTTGGAACTTCTAGTTCTGTAACTTCTGCAGCCCCTGCCTCCTTTCTGAAATAATTCCTAGCACTCGGGTGAAAGCTGTTGTTCGTGGTCGGCGGCGACTTTGATTGCAGGAATAGTAAAAAGAGATCGGGATCGAGACCCTTCTGGTTTTAAGGAGGTGTGTTCAGCCAGCTTGAGGGCCTGCTATTTCGCCAAATAGCCCTGTGTTCCTGAAATAACTAGCCCAAAGGGATGGCAGTTGCATCCTACAGCCAGAGAATGGGTGGTTCATACAGACACAGAACATGTGATTGCCAGAAATAATAACTTGAATGGATCTTATGTGCTGGATGCCATTCTGCGCCATCATGTGATTCCATTGTCACAAAGAGCCAGTGTAGAATAATAGTTCAAGTGTTAGACTTGAACTGAGAAAATCCATGTTCCAATCCCTGGTTGATTGTTGGATTTGCTAGGTAAACTTGAGGCAATCACTCTCTTTCAGCCAGCACTGTCTTGTGTATTGTGTTGTGGATAAAGTAAGAGAAGGGTGTACACCATGGTATGGTGGAAAGGTGAGATAGAAAAGAAGCATTAAACAAAAATGCACATGCTGGCTTCAAGCTGCTGCAAATAAAAAACTATCTGACAAGAGATCCACAAATGGCTGGATGAATTAAGTGTTAATTCTGCATTGGAATGCAGACAATGTCAATTGCCATTTCTTCTAATTAGTCTGGTGACACTATAAGAATGGCCTAAGGAAATCTTTATATAGATTCCCTTCTCCATTAGGTCCTTTACCATGAACATTCACAGACTGAGTGCTGAAAGTCCAGAAAGTTGTGGTAAATATTGAAATAATAAAGCAGCATGTCTTGTATGAGAGAGGTTTACAGTCATATTGAACCAGGTAGCTAGTTTGGGTTTGTTTGGGATTAATAAACAAACATACCACTATGAGCTTCTGGAGAAAGTAGCTTGCTCTAAACCTCATTTCTTCTTCTATAAATAAAAAGTAATAATCATGTAGCTTGTAGAACTGAGAAGGTGAACATGACATGTAAATTAAATGTATTTGGCCAGTTATGATAACTGAAAAAATTCTTTCCTTGAGAGCATCCTACATTTCTGCAGAGAAATTTTGTTTCTGTTATTATCAAAGTTCTTGTTATATATTCAAGCCCACTAAACCCCTTTTTGATTTTAATGTTAATTCTTCCTCCATATGTAAAAGCCTCTTTTTTACTTGTTTTTGTTAATTCTTTTGTAATTTTCTTTTATGGCTATAAATCTCTTTGAGATATCAGATTGAACTGAAGTCAGTTTTTACTACTTGTAAAAACAATGACAAAGCTATCTTAGGATCTAAGTGTGACTGTTTTTTACCCCCAGCTTTTATCTGAGAATTTTCCGCAATACTGATGGAAATGGTAATGAACAATTTCCTCAGTCAATGAAGATTACCGTAAATATTTTTCTTTAAAAATAGTGAAATAATGTAATCAAATATTTTGATTGATGAAACAGGATGTTCTAAAGTTTAATACAGTAATTCTGAAAAAGGAGGTAATTCTACTGTTCGTGCTCTTTCTAATCTCTCCTGATTTCTGACCTGCATCTTCGTTCTTGAGTTATGCCTGAATCAATGGGACTCTTCGTGTGGAGTCAGTTGGGGATCTACAAAGAGGACTGTGTGTCTCGGCCAAGGAGGGGACTATGCAGTAAACAACAGGAAATCCAACTTGGCACTAGGTCTGAGCAGCTGGAAGCTTGGGACAGATATTCTGGCCTTTATTGCAATCCTCAGATGCATGTCTTCAGGTCGAGCCCAGATGTGGTGGGTTTGTCGTCGTCCCCCCAGCCCCTTTCCCTATACTGCTTAAATACTTTCCCATTCTTCTTTTGGCATTATCAGAAGTTCTGAAGGATTGTTTCACTCAGAGAAAGTTTCATTTCTAAGATTGTTGAGAGCTCAGATTTAATTTTCAGTGTTCTCTTGTGATGTGAATTGAGAGCGTCTGCTCCATTATCTGACAGCATAATTGAGGTACTATCAGTCAGTAGGAAACTAGACTCTGGAACTGAAATTCAGCCTTTGGTAGAAAAGTTTAGAGTCCTCTTGAATGGATGAGTGCACCTTCATCCTCGTCACTAAATTTGCAGATGGTGATTACATATAGTGAATCAGTGGCATTCTTTCCTGAACTGGCTGAAAGTGTCAGTGGTTATACATCCCTTGATTACATCCTGTCTTGACAGTTGCAACATGCTGTGCATTGAACTGTCCTTGAAAAGTGGAAGCTGCCATGGCTGTTAGACAGCTAAACAGTTCAAAATACAGGAATCATCTATACCGAAATATCTGCACCAGCTGTCAATTGCTTACTCGCCACAGTATAAAGTGCTGGTATTGATTTTTAAAGTCATGAACAGCTTAGGCTCCCTCTTCCTTATGATCCTATATGTTTATTGAATTCTGCAAGAGAGACCTTTTGAAGATGATCCCACTGTCAGAAGCCCATCTTTCAGGCACACAAGAGAAGGCCTTGTTCTATGTTGGTCCCAGACTATGAAGTGCACTCCCTTGGGACATGCATTTGCCCAGCTGTCTCAGTGTCTAGAAAGTAAATGAAGATGCATCTCTTCTGCCAAGTTTGGGATTGATTGATTTTACCATTTGTTTTAGTACTAATTTTAATCTGCATTTTTAGCTTTTTACTTTTCTAGAGTTATACAATTGCAAGGGGCAATTTATTTGAATAGTGCTATCACATCCCTCCTCGGCTAAACATTCCCAGCTCCTTCAGTCTGTCTTCATGGCTTTAGTTTATTATCGTCCGATCATCTTCATTGCTTTTCTTTGAACCTATTCAGTTTCTCTAAATCTTTTAAAATGTGACTAGCATTGTCACAGTATTAAAGATGGAGTCTGACTAATGCAGGACAGAATGGAAGGATTGCTTCCTCTGACTAAATATACCTTTGCCTTTTTTGCAGTCATACAACACCTTGTTAGCTCATATTCAGTTTGCAATATACTACTACTGCAACATCATTTTCACAAGTACTGTTACTAAGCCAGGTGTCTCCCATACTACATGTGTTCATTTTATTTTTGTTTTTTAACTGAACACAGCACTTGAGTCTGTTAAAATGTATTTCTGTTACTTTCATCCCATTTCTCTAGGATTTCAAGATCAGTTTGAATTTTATTTATTCTCAGATATTAGTTATCCCACCTAATTTTGTGTTGTCTCCAAAGAAGAAGAATAGAATAGAATAAAATTTTATTGTCACTTTAAATGTACACTAATCAGCATACATTAAAATGAAATTTCATTGCATTCAGCTCTCAGAAGTTGACCATTGTGCCCACACATATATGACATAGAGAAACATCACAGTCTAGTTTGAATGTATATATATACATGGCAGAATATTATATATATTTAACTATATATTTATAGTTCTACTATAAATACTTCGAAATCTCCTCCCAGAGGGGAGCAACAGAAACAGACCATGAAGTGGGGTCTCTAACAATGCTTCGAGCTTTAAGCACATAGTGCTTATAAGCAATATCCTGAATAATGGGAAGCAAGCTTCCTATAATCATCTCTGTTGTCTATATGGACCTTCTATCTGAGGCACTGTTACCACCAAACCAAACAGTGATACAGATTGATATGCTTTCAATCGTGCCTCGGTAAAGTTGGCTAAGCATTCCTTCTATCTATCCCTTACAAATGCATATGAAGCTCCTTGCAATACTGCTCTTCATATTGCTGAAGAACCATTGATAAGTACTCTTTGGATACAATTTTTATGTCTATGTCTTATTTTAATTGTCATGCCATCCAGCCCACATTTAACTACTGTATCTTGCTAATCAGTATATTTTGGAATGCTCTGACATGGCTGAAATCAATAAATTTTACAATAGCAATATATTGTACATTTTATAATACAAGAAATTTTACAATACAATATATACCGCTTCACAGTGCTTTACAGCTCTCTCTAACTGGTTTACAGAGTCAGCATATTGCCCCCAACAATTTGGGTCCTCATTTTACTAACCTTGGAAGGATGGAAGGCTTGAGTCAATCTTGAGCCGGTGAGACCCAAACTGCCAAACTGCAGAAATAGCCTGCAGTACTGCATTCTAACCACTGCGCCACCATGCACAATGATAACATTTCCAGTTTACTAAGGTAGTTAATGAATCAAAAATAGATAACAAGATTTGTTCATGACAAATCCATGCTAACTATTGGAATTACTGTACTGGAGTTACTGCACTTTTGCAAGCATTGAAAATTGATCTCTTTATTGTGTTCTAAAATGTTTCCAGGTGTCAATGTTAGATTGACCGGTCATTGTGCACTCAATCTTCCCTTTCCTTATTTTCGAACATAGGAACATCATCTCATCTGGCACATGCCCAGTTTGCAGGATTTTTCAGAGAGAATATATATAGGGATTTGTCTAGACTATGAACTGATTCCTTCAATATCCTAGGATGCAATTAATTTAGTATTAGAGATATAATTTGGTATAGAGATATAAACTAATTCAGAATAAAGAGACAGCCACGTTTCTATCAATCTCAAGATTCAATATTGCCGCTACATCTTGCTTTTTTGTTTTGTTTTGATCAGTTTTTGTTGGCTGCCTTGAACATTCTCCAGACTAGAAAGTATTATTTATTTATTTATTACATGTATTTATATGCCGCCATTCTCCCGAAGGACTCAGGGCGGCGAACACAAGTTAAGAAACAAGTACAATAAAATCATAATTTAATCCAAATAATTAATTAGTAGTAAATAATAAAGCCCGGAATCAGTCTCAGCCTATTTGTTTGAAAAGCCAAGTCTTCAAGTCCCGACGGAAGGAGCGGAGATCAGGAGCCGTCCAGAGCTCAGTAGGTAATTCATTCCAGAGGGTGGGAGCACCCACAGAGAACGCCCTACCCCTGGGCACAGCAAGGTGACATTGGCTCACCGTCGGAACCCTGAGGAGAGCGGCCCTATGTGAGCGAACAGGACAGTGAGAGGCAGGCAGGAGAAGGTCATGCAAATATCCTGGACCTAAGGCATGAAGGGCCTTATAGGTGAGGACTTGTACCTTGAAGCGGACCCGGAGAACCACTGGTAATCAGTGCAGCTCACGCAGGAGGGGTGTTATATGGGAGTAACGAGGGGCTCCCATAACAACCCGTGCAGCTGCATTCTGGATCAGCTGGAGTCTCCGGGTGCATCTCAGGGGCAGGCCCATGTAGAGGGAATTGCAGTAATCCAAGCGGGAAGTAACCAGGGCATGAGTGACTGTGCGAAGGTCATCTCGGTCCAGGAAAGGGCGCAACTGGTGCACCAGGCGAACCTGTGCGAAGGCCCCCCTGGTCACAGCCGTTAGATGGTCTTCTAGGGATAGCCGAGCATCCAGGAGGACACCCAAGTTGCGAGCCCACCAGAGATCATTCACCAGAGCGACCAATGCCATTTCCGTGCTGTGACCGTGTCGGAAGCCTGATTGGTACAGGTCAAGGTATTCCGTTTCCTCCAGGAATTGTGGGAGCTGTTGAGCCACTACAGTCTCAACAACCTTCGCGATGAAGCGAAGGTTGGAGACGGGACGATAGTTATTAAGTGAGTCTGGATCCAGGGAAGGCTTCTTGAGGAGAGGTCGAACCACCGCCTCCTTAAGAGAGGCGGGGAAGTTCCCCTCTCTCAATGAAGCGTTGACAATTGCCTGGATCCAGTCTCTAGTCACCTCTCTGGCAGCCGAAACCAACCAGGAGGGACAAGGGTCCAATAAGCAAGTGGAGGAACTAAGTTTGCCCACAATCCTGTCCACTTCCTTGACAGAAACAGGGTCAAACTCAATCCAGATATTATTCTCAAGACCCACCCTAGTCTCCCGATTGGATTCTGCCCAGTCAGAGTCCAATCCGATCCGGATCTGAGCGATTTTATCATGCAGAAACTGTACAAAATCCTCAGCTCTGCCCTGCAAAGGGTCTTCCCTCGCTCCCTGATTGAGGAGGGAGCGGGTCACACGAAACAGGGCTGCTGGGCGGTTTTCTGCAGATGCAATGAGGGTGGCGAAGTAGTGACGTTTCACCGCTTCCATCGCCACTAGATAAGACCTAATATGGGTTCTTAACTGTGTTCGGTCAGATTCAGATCGGGAGGACCTCCAACTCTCCTCTAAGCGTCTTTTCTGACGTTTCATTTCCCAGAGCTCCATGGAAAACCAAGGAGCAATCCGGGATCTGCATCGGATTAGAGGCCGCAAAGGTGCGATTCTGTCCAAGGCGTCGGTAGCCACCCGTTCCCCGGATGCCACCAGAGCCTCAGCTGAATCGCAGGATTGAGAGGTGGGGAATGTCCCAAGCTCCTTCAAGAACCTTTCTGGGTCCATCAGGCGCCTAGGGTGGAACCATTTTATGGGTCCCGTCTCCCAGTGGCAGGGGTTGGCAGATTGAAAGTCTAGTCTAAGGAGGGAATGGTCAGTCCATGACAGGGGAGTGATGGAAAGTTCCCCCTTACCATGACTATTTATCCACTGCCCAGAGAGAAAAACTGATTGCTGAGCACATTGTAAGCCGCCCTGAGTCTTCGGAGAAGGGCGGCATATAAATCAAATTAAAAAAAAAAAAAAAAACCAGGTCGAGTGTGTGTCCTCCCCTATGAGTTGGGCCCTGAATAACCTGAGTCAGGTCCATGGGTGCCATGGAGGCCATGAACTCCCGGACTGTCTCAGATGACTCACCAATTGAAGGCAGATTAAAATCTCCCACAACTAAAAGGCTGGGGAGTTCAAGTGCCACCTCAGACAAGACATCGAGCAGTGCGGGCAGGGCTGTGGCAACATAGCTGGGAGATAGGTATGTGACCAACAAGCCCGACTGAACTCCAGGGTCCCACTTCAATAGAAGAGACTCACACCTGCCTATCTGAGGGACAGTGACCTCCCTAGGACTCAGACTTTCTCTAACAACTACTGCCACCCCCCCTGCCCCTTCCCTGGTGTCGCGGCTGGTGCAGGACACGAAAGCCTGAGAGGCATAAATCAGAGAGAGGGATTCCCCCCTCTTGCCCCAACCAGGTCTCCATGATACAGGCCAGGTCCGCACCCTCCTCATCAATAAGATCTCGTATGAGGAGAGCCTTATTCATCACGGACCTGGCATTCACATATATCAGACGGAACCAGGGTCCTTCGCTCTCATATCCCCAGGAAAGCAGGGTGAGCAGGAGGTATGGGAGCAAGTCACCATCCGAATGCATCTGGTGTGATGCTCCCCACCCCTACTTCGATTTCTTCTGCCCCTTCCCACCATCACAGGTATAGCTTGTCCCACTCTCCTCTGAGCATCTCCTACGACTCCCAATCTCCCCAACCCGCCGGGACTGTCAAAATGGCATAGCTACTGATCCTTAAGAGACCCCCCAGTCTCATTTTTATTATTAAAAACCACCCTCCTCCCGGATCCCCTTAAAATTGGATCTAAAAATCTATTTAAAAAACCCCAGAGTTTCCGTTTTTTAGTGTATCACCTCTTGGGGTTCCAAAACCCGTCATCAAGGGCAGCCCTCGATAGTTGAGAGGGCCAAACCTGCGAGAGGGGGGAGTCTTGCGGTGCAAGGAGCTCCGCAGTTGAATACATTAAAGAATAGTAATGAGCTGAGAGTGATGAAGGATCATTTTCTATTAAAGGGTATTAGAGATGGTAAAAACAGGTAGATTAAATAAGGGAGGAAAAGATGTTAAAGAGAAGACAATATGCTAAAAACATCAGAACATCGGGACATCATCGTCCTATCATGACGATGGGAAGTCTTGTGATTATAATAAGTCTATTCAATGGTGGGGAAAAAAGTCTCAAAGGCCGCCCTTTCAAGGTGACCCAAACCAAAGTCATAAGGTCAAATGAGAGATGGTCCGTCCCACCATAGTCCAAGACTCTCGGTGTCTGTGCCTCCTCCCATTCTCACACCAGCAATAGCCGAGGCTTAGTTCAGAAAAAAGCAAGGTGTAGTCATAGGATGGAATAAATGATTGAATAATCGAATAATCCGGGTAACCCAGGGAAGACAAGATGGTCAAATAAGGCTGCAGATCAATCAAAAGTTGTAAATTTATGCTGAGTGGCCCTATTAGGCCTAAGCCTAATAAGGGGAGGGGGGAACAGTTAAGGGGGAGACCAACTGTCATCCCCCAGCTGACAGTTCTCAGTTCCTTCCCCATAAGCTTGATCTTCAGGCCATTCAGCCCATTAAGCCCCTTCCAGGTTTCAGAAAAAAAGGGGGGAGTGTCCAGATCCCTCAAAAACTGAGGGATCCTAACGTTTGTAATGCTGCCCTCTTCTCCACCAACAACGGGGGCGTCTTTGTAGCCAAGCCTCCAGGTACTGCTGCCGTCCTCTAACCTCCTCCCTGACAGTCAGCTGTTCCTCGGGCTCCATCCACGCTCTATCAAGCCGGCAACACCTCGGCTCGCTGGGAGGGGTCAAAAGATGGCTAACTGACCCCCGACACCCCTGAAAATGTCGAACATCGCCTCCCTAAGCTCGGGGTTCACTGCGGAGCCACCATTTTGGTTTGCTGCCCAATGGAATTTCACATAAAATTTAAAAAATGTGATCAAAGGATGCAACACTTCAGATAGTTGCAGGAATGAATCCTAGTCTGCAATAAGCAGTATTTGGGCTCTATTTTCTGTTTAGCAGGAGTCACATATAGGCTTGGTCCTTTTCTGTCCTCATTCTGTTTCCTTATTTGGTAGGATTAATTTACAATTATATATTTCTCTGATAAAACAACTAAGGGGCCATATTGGACAGATTAATAAATCAACTTCTGTTCCAGTAGATCCTTCATTGGAACTACCAGACGATTTACATCTACCTTGTGAGCCTAAGTCAGTGGATAGTGTTCTGTTGGTTGATGGATGCCAGAAAAATGCTGCCATCACTGTATCACGGAAAGAAAATTGGCCCAAGTTCACCTGGAGCTGTCAAGAAGACTCTCATAACAGAAGGCCATGCCAGAGCTTTTCCCCTGTGCCACAGGCCCCTGCAGACATTGGCTTCGTGGCAACTGGACTTAATAAAGATACTGAATTGCTAGCCAACTACCCAGAAACACGTAACCCCAGCCTCAATACCAAATATAGCAACCAAGGTGCTTATCTACAGACCCTGGAAAAAAGTAGCCGCCAATGGGTGCTCTCCACAGGGAAGACTCAAGGGGTAGAAGAGGGAGCTTCCACTTCTGCCATTGAGATGGAAGAATTCCACAAGCATGGCAACTCCCAAGGAGAAATCTGGTACAACCCAATTCCAGAGGACGAGGACCTGCAGCTCCCCTTCCTTGAAAGGAAGTGTGGTAGTAGTTCTGAGAATAGGGACAAGAAGAAGAACCCAATAGAAGTTAAAGTCCCACATGAATGTATAGATATTGACAGCTCACTGAAGGCAGTCAATAATGTGCAGATTTCACCAATCCAACTGAAGCGTGTTAAGCAAGTGGAGATGCTGGGCAATCACCAGTCTGAGACTTACGGTGAGTTGGTTCTAAGCAGAGACTCACATTTTTTTAGGAGCATGAGAACTGCCTTGTGGTTTGGAGAACTGAAGTTTGAGGACGGGAGGGAATGGTTGCATGTCATGGGTTTAGTCAAGAGCAAGATTGTTTTTCTCTTATACTGAAGCATGATCTCCTGGGAGTATCTCTTTTTTTAAAAAAAGGTTGGGAATAGAGAAGACAATTCCAGTCTTTTAAGTAGCTGTTATGCTGAGTTAGCTTAGCTGACTATGCTCTAGAGTGCTTAAAAAAAGATCCATTCTAAATGCACAGCAGTGCACCACTAAACCCTGTGAGATGCTTGTGGATGTCTTGAAATGTCATTTATCTTAAATGTATATTGAATTTAAGACCATCACTAAGGGAAAAGGATTTTCAATGAAACCAGTACATATCATTGATTGGGTTGCTGGTTATAGAAATTTCCACTTGTTTAATCATTCATAATACCACCTACATTTTTGGCTGAAAATGTTGAGTTTAGCAGTATGCATATTCATGTTCTTATTAATAATTAAAGTAGTATTTCAATTTTGGGGATATCTGCAATAAACAAAGGAGGAATGTCGGCTACTCCATTAACCATTTATATTGTATCAGATTGTTTTGCGGCTTTTTTTGGAAGAAGAGGATTGTCTTCTCTAGTTATCCCTTTTTCTGAAAAGCCATGAGAAAGAAAGCCAGTTCTTTCTCTCCCAGCCTGTTACCCTTGCAGCTTTGGTGCAATGCCTGTTACCTGCTGGATAAGTGGCATTTGGCCTGCCTTACACAATTTCTCTCCTCAGGAAAGATACCTGTTGCAACTGTGGATCCTGAAGAAAGTTCAGCCAGTGCCACACTGATGGCCCAGAACACCAATGCCAATAAAAAGAGCCATTCTTTCAGCAAGACCAAGTCCCCAGGCCCAGTACGAAGTCTCTCCATGAAGATGAAGAAACTGCCAGAGCTGAGACGGAAACTAAGTCTGCGCAGCTCCCGTCCTCGTGGGCCAGAAGGGAGCTCCTCTGCTAAGGAGTCAGGGAATGTCATCAGCCGCTACCATCTTGACAGTAGTGTGGTATCTCAGCAACCTGTGACCCAGGACAAGGCTGCCAGCAATGGGGGATATTTGAGTGACAGTGATTCCCCAGAACTTCTGGCTAAGACAGAGGCATGCCTTGGCCTTGAAGAGTCATCATTCTGGCTGTACAGTTTTGCTGAACAGCCTAGCTGTCTACAGCATTTCTCTGGTCTTGTCAGCATTCACCTGCTGGGGATCCAGGGTTTCAAGCCTCCCAAAGCTGAAACCAAAGAGCTCTTCTGCATTCTTCAAGTAGACTCTGTTAACAAGGCTCGCACAGCCCTCCTGCCTTGCCAGGCTGCTGTCCTCACTCTCAACCATTCTTTCCAGCTGGAGCTGGAGGATGCCCAACTTCTCAGAATGGCGGTCTTCTCCTGTGATCCTACTGTGGGCAAGAATCGAGTTTGCTGCCATGGTACCATCATTCTGCCCCAGGTTTTTCAAGGTGAGGAAGATTGTTCAGTCACATGCCAATAGATAGTTTTCTAGGGAGTTACAGATAGAAATAATGTCCTTTGCAGTCCACCTGTTCAGGAACATATAGTTGGAAGTTACCTTCTGCTGGATCAGATCATTTTTTTCACTTGTGCAGTACAGGCTAGATTGAAGGGTCTCAATCCAACATCATTCCCATTAAAGGCTACTTTTAAACTTGTGGTGGGATGGAAGTCAAAGTTGCAATCCCACTCATGCCAGGACTATGCTCTTCTTGTCTCTCTTCTTTCTGCCAGCATAGCACAGGACCTAAGTCCTGCTCAAGATGCTAGTGTTGGATACATCTCAAGAGCTTCTAATACTGGATTGACCCCATGGGATTTTCTGGTCTGGGGAAGGGGATGGGGAGGTGGGGATCCATTGTGATCATCACATTTTTGGTTTTAGGTTGTAAGACCCAGCAGTTAGCCCTACAATTGGAGCCTCAGGGGCTTCTTTACATCAAACTCACTCTGGTGGATCGGTGGGATCCAGCTAATTCGGAACAGGAACCACAAGTCTTTGGAGTGAAGCTGAATCAGCTGGTGAAAAAAGAAGGTGCTGCCATCAAGGTGCCACTCCTAATCCAGAAATGTGTAACCCAGATTGAGAAACGAGGATTGAAGGTGAATGTTCTCCATCCCAAAGCAACCAATTTCCTAAGTTTCATGTAGAGTAGCTCAACCTGATCAACTCCTTTCTCCCAACCCAGATGTCTGTTTTTTGCAGTTTGCCATCCATGTGAGATTTATTTATTTATAGGATTTACATGGCCACTTACCTCATACAAAGATTATAGGCAGCTCACAACATCCCTAAAACATAGTTAAAGACAAAGGTACCTTCCCTCCAAGTGCCAGACCAAACATTCTCACAGTTCAGCCCAATGCCTGGGGGAAGAGCCAGATTGTCACAGCCTTTCAGAATGCTAAAAGGGTAGAGATTCCTCTGATCTCCAATGGGAGGATGTTCCTCACCAAGAAGACACTCCTCCAAGTCCCATCTAATGGCAACATTTAAGGGAAGGGAACTTGAGTGTCTCCACCCCATCTAATCTAGTAGGACAGGCAGATACCCTCAGGGAGAAGCATTTCTTTAAGTAACCTATTGTAGTCTTGTGCCAATAGGGCTGTAAAGATGATAATCAGCACCTTGAATTAGAGCTGGAAAGCAACTGCATGCCAGTACAAGTTACACAGCAGTGGTATTACTTGAATGAACCACGGGGTATCCAAAATTGCAAGTGCTGCTGCATTCTGGATGGTTACAGCTTCTGGATGAACTTCAAGGCCAGTTCCATGCAAAGGCATTATAATAATTTAAATGGGAGGTGACTAAGCCATGGGTGACTTCTTCCCTATACTATTGCTTGCAGCTTATCCAGGTGATCAGCTCTGTTCTCTTTGTAGGCGGTAGGCCTGTATCGCTTGTGTGGCTCAGCAGCAGTGAAGAAGGAATTACATGATGCCTTTGAGAGAGATAGTGCTGCTGTTGTTCTTTCTGAAGATCTTTATCCAGACATCAATGTGATTACAGGTTGGTGCCTACAACTGGACTCTTGTTAGACTTTCTGACTGACGAAGTTCCCAGTGGATTCTGGAAAGACTTCTGGAATTAATAACATGTAGGCAAGTCACATTGCCAGTACCAACGTAGAGTGTGGAAAAAACCAATTTAGAAACACCCTGGAACTCATTGACTGCTGGGCCAATTAAAACAAGTTTACTGATCTTATTGAAACATTTGCTCACCACCACCACTATTATTATGAGATCAAGGCTCTCTAGCTATGATCCTTCTTCCCTGTGTGAAGTCCAACAGAGATAGAGGTTCTTGAGGTTCTCCTTGTACACCCAACCTTTTGAACCCGCTCTGCATTTCTCCGTTGCTATGCAGTTCTTTCCCTCCTCTTTACAGTTCAGATCACAGTTAAAAAGCTCAAGGAATTCTCTGACTCTTATGTGAAAGGTGCTGACTCTTCTGCAGATAGCTTGAAGGTGCTGGAGAAGAACCCATGTAGGCTGCTGGAAACTAGGTTTTTCTCTGCAATCTTTTCCTGAATTCAGGCCTTCCCCAAGTTTACACAGACTTATCAGTCAGGCAATGTACATCTTGGTCCACCTCTTGGAAACAGAGCATTCAAAAGCTCAACACAGGATTTCTGAAACCATGAGAGAACTTAGTTTCCCTTTGCTTGGACTAACCTTTAGTGGAAATGAAGTCTGACAGGATTTCAACATTGCATTTCTGAAAGGTCAGGAGATAAAGAGTAGGTATGAAATTCATTCAATGCTAAACAGATTGGCACATTCAGAACCACTAAGAATGAGCTCCTTAGTTTTAATTGGGTGCGTTACACAACTTCATTTATCATTTTCAAAGGGTATGGCACCACATTATTTGAGAACTGCTGGTTTAAGGAATTGCAGATCAGTGCTCAATCTCAAATGCTACTCTATAAAGCAAAAACAGAGTCGTAAGGAGACAAAACTTCAAGTATTTGTATTCAATAGTTCTGTGCAAAAAAGTTTATATAGATGAAAGAGACAATCTTTTGGGGATTATATTACTAATACAACTAAAGATATGGAGACTAAATATGAATAATGTAATCTTTAATTAAGGTTTAATTGGGAAAACCTCAAGGCATTTTGATGCTATTTCCCACCCTTTTGAATACCGTGGATCCAAATGCATATTTTATAAAGTAGATTTGGGCCACTGGAGATTTTCCCATGATGGGGAAAAAAGGCAGATCTCCAATAAGAAGAAGAATGTGCCCAATCCTGTATTGAAGAGAACTCTGCCAATGACCAAGAGGTCTAGAGCCAGGGTAGCTCAAATTTCCTGTGACTACCAGCCCCCATGTTTCCTCTGTGTGTTGGTCCACTTCCTTTCATGATAAAAGGCAGGTCAGAGTTAGCATTTGATGGCTGGCAGTGAGTCCTACAGCTGAGGACTTAGCCAATTGCCATTATTTCAGCAGTGAAACTGGAAATGGAGCTGACAGCTCCTCTTATACTGCCAGGTTGACTGTCAAGGTTGCCAGGTTGACTGACTGGGGCTCAATGGATGTGCCCCAGCTCTATTGTTCCTTTCTATATATTGTTTGACAAATGATGTGAAAGTATGGTTTTGAGCAGCAAAAGATTCAACTGTGTTGAATCACTTTGCATTACATCAAAATGAATAGAACAAGACAGAACAATAGAGTTGGAAGTGACCTTGGAGGTCTTCTAGTCCAACCCCCTGCTCAGCAGGAGACACTATTCCATTTCAGACAAATGGTTGTCCTGTCTATTTTTAAAAACTTCCAGTGTTGGAGCATTCACAACTTCTGTAGGCAAGTTGTTCCACTGATTAATTGTCCTAACTGTCAGGAAATTTCTTCTTAGTTCTAGGTTGCTTCTCTCCTTGATTAGTTCCCATTCACTGCCCTCAGGTGGTTTGGAAAATAGCTTGATTCCTTCTTTGTGGTAATCCCTGAGATATTGGAACACTGCTATCATGTCACCCCTAGTCCTTCTTTTCATTAAACTAGACATACCCAATTCCAATCTGTCTGCTTCCTCCCTCTGCTATCATTTTGCTCCCTTATCCAACCAGTGAGGAAAAAACCCACTCACATATAAGTTTGTGAATCAGGATTTTCATGTCAGGAAACTTTAATATGGCACAGATCTTGAAGTACCACTATGATACCAGCCTTCTCTAATAAAGATGACAGTTGAACCTAGAACAAAGATAATGTTGAATTTTGTTTTCTGTTTTCCTCCTTTCCAGGGATCTTGAAGGACTATTTGCGTGAGTTACCCACTCCTCTTATCACTGACCCCCTGTATCAGGTGGTACTGGAAGCTATGTCCAATAGGACAGTGGGACTGGAAGTGAAGGAGACAACAACAGCTCTTCTGAATTGCCTACCAGAGGCTGAGAAGGTGAGGAAGTCTCAGGTTGAGAAAGAGAATAGGTCTATCAATCTCAGACTTAATCGGCCTTTAAAAATCTTTAAAATCTTTAAAATCTTTTAAAATCTTTAAAAATCTAACCTCTCATGTTTACAAAGATTTAGTCTTTGTAAACAGCAACAGATCATGCCCCACATTTCCCAATCGTACCACAACTAATCACAACGATTTACTACATGTCGATTTCACAGAAGATGCCATTGAAAAGGCATTATGCAACCTAAAACTATCTCTATCTATTGGCCCTGATGGATTATGTGCCTACTTCTTAAAAAAACTCTCAACCACTATAGCAGAACCTCTTAGCATAATCTATGAAATATCTTTCAGAACCAGCTCATTGCCTAGCTTATGGTCACTAGCCATGGTCATCCCTATCTTCAAAAAGGGTGATCCCAGTCTAGTTGAAAATGACAGACCAATCTCATTATGTTGCGTCACATGGAAAGTCATGGAATCAATCATAAACCAATCCATTACCCTCTAGTTATAGACAAACAACCTACTCTCTAACAAGCAGTTTGGCTTCAGAAAAAAATTGTCCTACAATCTGCAACTCTTACAAAACAAAACAAAAACATATGGACTTCACAACTCGACCAGGGTAAAGCAATAGACGCAATTTATATACACTTCTGCAAAGTCTTTGATTCAGTAGTACACGACAAACTACTTCTAAAAGTAAAATCTTATGGCATTCCCAGATTCCTGCATAAGTGGATAGCTGCATTCCTATCAACAGTCCTAAACTGGCAACCCCCTCGCACCTGCAGACAACTGCAAAGCTTCCTGGGGTTCGCGAACTTCTACAGACAATTCATTCCCTCTTTTGCAAGAATTGCCAAACCTCTGACAGACCACCTAAAAACAGGGAGTCCAGCAACAAAGCCCCGCCTAGGACAACCTGTAAGTGGGACCTGACCTGCCAACAAGCATTCGAAACACTAAAAGAAATGTTTGCAAAAGAACCAGTCTTAAAGCATCCTGACCCCAAACAACCCTTTGTCATCCAAGCAGATGCCAGCGATGTGGCAGTGGGGGCCATGCTACTCCAAAAGAACAGCCAAGGGAATCTACAACCTTGTGCCTACACATCCCGCAAACTCACCGGCACAGAAAGACGATGAGCGGCATCCATAGGGTCATCCCAAGGCCTCAGCTCAGCGTTTCACCCGAGCACCAATGTGGGGGCAGAGAGACTGAATGCCATGGTGGAGGAGTACCTGAGGTGCTACGTGAACTATCAGCAGTCCAATTGGGCGGACCTCCTGTCTTTCGCTGAGGTTGCGTATAATAATGCTGTTCACAGTAGCACGGGGCTAACCCCGTTTAAGATAGTGAGCGGCATGGACTTTGTCCCAATGCCTGAGTACCCAAGGGAGCCTCCCTCCTCAGTCAACTTGACCGATTGGATGGCGACACTGAAAGCAACCTGGGAGATTGTCAAGGAAGCGCTAGCTAAGGCAGCACAAACCTATAAGAAACAGGCAGACAAACACCGAGCTCCCCAAAGGCCTTTTCAATTGGGGGAGAAAGTTTACCTCTCCACAAAATATTTGAGGTTAAAACTTCCTAGCAAGAAATTGGGACCAAAATTTATAGGACCATTCTCCATAGTAAAGATAATCAACCCAGTCACAGTGCAATTGAAGTTGCCCCGATTGCTAGGGAAGATACACCCGGTATTCCATAGTAGCCTCTTAAAACCCGTGGTTGGATCAACCCTGAGGCCATTACCCCGTGAGCCCCCAGGCCCTGTGGTCATAGGGGGCCAGACCCATTATGAGGTGCAGCAAATCCTCAATTCGAGGTGGCACAGGAGGCAACTCCAATATTTAATCAAGTGGAAGGGTTACCCCTTATCAGAGGCATCTTGGGTAAAGAGTCAAAACATCCAGGATGATCGCCTTATAGCCAAATTTCATGCAGAAAATCCAAACAAGCCTGGTGGGGGGTCACATCCCTAAACTCTACATCTGTACTCAAATTGTTTTGCTTTGTGCAGGTTGCCCTCGGGAAGTGAGGGGAGCCGAATGTCAACTTGCAAAGCTTTCAAGTTGCCATGAGCAGGAGGGAGGGAGAACTGAAGTGAATTCCATGCATTTTTCTGATCGCAATCAGAAGGAGGGTGTTAGGTTTCACAGCCAGCCAAAGTGGTTAATTGGAGAATGTGATTTATGACATGGCCAGGGGGGAGGGGAGAGACAGGGTCATAGGGGAACGTAAATCTACGTGGGGTCAGTCCTGACTGCATCCGAGTATTGCCGGAATGGTGCTCCTAATAAATCACTATATTTCCTTTGAAGTTTGGATCATGGCTCATGAATTAATTAGGGCATCTTTCGGAAACTTGACAGCAAGTAGTCAAAATAGGGAACGCCCTATCAAACCCTGCAACAGTTAGCAGCGGCGTCCCCCAAGGAAGCATTTTAGGACCCACACTCTTTATACTTTACATAATTGACTTTTGCGATCATATTATAAGCAACTGTGTTCTCTTCACTGATGATGTAAAACTATTCAACATCACCCTACAGAAAGACCTTGACTATCTATCAGAATGGTCAAACAATTGGCAACTCCAAATCTCAACCAACCAACAAAACAAACAAACAACAAACAAAACCAAAAAAAGTCTCATACATTGGCAAAAAAAATCAAAACATAAAATACAAGCTGGGCGGATATGACCTTGTAGATGACCCTCACTCTGTAAAGGACCTTGGAGTACTCATTTTTAATAATCTAAGTGCCAGAGCCCACTGTAACAGCATTGCCAAAAAAGCATTAAAAGTTGTTAACCTAATCTTGGGTAGCTTCTTCTCTGGTAATATTGTACTACTAACTAGAGCATACAAAACATTTGCTAGACCAATTCTCGAATACAGCTCATCTGTCTAAAACCCGCAGTGCATTAATACAATTGACATTAATACAGACATTAATACAATTGAGAGAGTCCAGAGATATCCTCCATTCCTCTACCCACAATACCACCGCAATACCTTATACCACCAGACCTGAAATTTTGGGCTTAGACAACTTAGAACTTCGCCGTCTTCAGTCCGACCTAAGTGTAGTACATAAAATTATCTGCCACAATGTCCTACCTGTCAATGAATACTTCAGCTTCAACCACAACAATACACGAGCACATAATAGATGCAAATTTATGGCAAACTGCGCCAAACTGAATTGCAGAAAATATGACTTCCATAACAGAGTTGTTAATGCCTGGAATGCACTACCTGACTCTGTGGTTTCTTCCAAAACTTTACCCTTAGACTTTACCCAAAGTCTTTACCCAAAACTTTACCCTTAGACTGTCTGCTGTCGACCTCACCCCATTCCTAAGAGGTCTTTAAGGGGCACGCATAAGTGCACCAGCGTGCCTACCGTCCCTGTCCTAATATTCCCTTTTATTCATATCCATTTCATGTATTCATAATTATGTTTATACTTATATCTGTTATCTAATACATGCTTGATGAAAATAAATAAATAAAAAATAAAACAATGTATCATTAGAGGACTTCCCTATGGATGGACATCCTGAATACTTTTCTGTTTTCTTGCTGATGTGAAAGCCTGCACACCTCTTCCTAGCAGTTCATTATTGTACTTGATTAAGCTCTTTCCTTCTTTGTTATTGACAAAATGGGCTGAAATAACTTCTTATTTCCATTTTTAGGCCACTTTGACAATGCTACTTGATCACCTTAGTTTGGTTGCTGCTTTCCATACCTTCAATCGCATGAATGCCCAGAACCTTGCTGTGTGCTTTGGGCCTGTGCTTCTGAGCCAATGGGCAGGTGGGACCATAGTCTCCAGATCTGGCCAACAGCATTGCACCACTGCCAGCACCAGAGATTTTAAACATCATCTTGAAGTATTACACTACCTGTTACAGACCTGGCCAGGTGAATGTGCAAGAGGTTCAAAGGCATCTCTTCCATTCTTGGGGACAAATTTCCTTTAGCTTTAGGTGCTGGGTTCTTGCCAATCACTTAATGAGTTCTAATACTTTTTGTTGAATTATAATGTGATATGAAGAATTCTTCTTAGCATTTTGAGCTTTATGGTACTTTGTCTCCTTATTTGATCAGTCGAGTTAGTTGGTTGATAAATCTTAAGGATATTTCTAGAGAACAAATAAGAAGCATATGTAAGCTGGACAATTAGTTTGACCAAACAACATATTAAACAAAGCTATTTCTAAATATTGGGTATAGTTTTAGACTTTGAGTCAAATTGTGGTTAATTTAAGGTGATATAACTGCAGTTATTGCTGTAAGATTCTCTGTATCATCTGAACCTGGAAGGGAGGGCTATTTAAATAACCTTCCCCTCTGGCCTTTGGTCATAAAGATGAGAAGCTGGAGCAATTGTAAAATAGGGATGTTATGGTCAGAGCATATATTTCCCCATTTTGTTTTCACTCCATAAGAACAGAATAATGTGTAAAATAACAATGCAAAAGAAATAAGGACATTCTCATCCCTATGAGATGAGAATCAGTGGTGGCACTGATCTTGTTGGGGCTGCCATTTAAAAATTATAATTAAAAAACAAAGTACTAATCCACTTCCCCAAAAAGCTCAAACCAGAAAATGATCACTGGTTGAATCAGTCCCTATAAAAGGGATTAAAATAGTAGCCAAAGTAATAGTCCTCCAACAAATTGGTGCTCTCAGTTTACTGGGAGTTACCTTTGGTGATATGGGTGACTATATAGTGCAAATAAGTAAATAAATAAATACTTTGAACAAACATATGATGAGAAGCAAAGGCTTCATATGCATTTTTCTGAATGTTGGATACTTTGGTCCAGAGGTGAAATCTAACAGGTTTTGACAGGTTCTAGAGAACTGGTAGCAGAAATTTTGAGCAGTTCGGAGAACCGGTAGCGGAAATTTTCAGTAGTTCAGAGAACCGGCAAATACCACCTCTGGCTGGCCCCAGAGTGGGGTGGGAATGGAGATTTTGCAGTATCCTTCCCCTGCCACGCCCACCAAGCCACGCCCACACCCACCAAAGGCTTCATATGCATATGCAACCGGTAATAAAAAAAATCGGATTTCATCACTGCTTTGGTCTTAATACCGGTATGTTTAATAAATACATATGGAACAGGATGTGATGTTGAGGTTGTCCCATACCTCAACCATGGAATCATATTTCCTAGGCAGAACAAGATTCCACTAAGCCACATGTAACACCAATGAATCCAGAAGAATGCATATGAAGCCTTCGCTTCAAATAATAGATGTATTCATATTCAAATTGATTGACTCACAATATCTCAGGTGATTTGTGTATCAGTATTTGTGAGGTAAGACTTTTTAAAAATGATGCTATGTTCTGAACTCAGCAGGCAGATTTGAAGTTTTGGATTTCTTAATCTAGAAATTAGCTGTGTGTTCTTGTGCACTTTGGGTGACTGTCAGCTTCCATTCCCTCTTGCCCTGCTTACCTCATTTTGCCTTCCTTCTTAGTGCCACATAGGAAGATGGAAGATGGGGAACGTACCTTTCCAAGCAAGCAGGCCTGTCATCAGTGCAACCCTCCCCTGGATCTGCAACTGTCATACACTACTGTCACTACTCGAAGTCACCCAAGAGGATTGGAAAGTCCTCCAAGAAATCGTTATGCTGGAGACTGGAGTGTGTGTGGACAGCAGTTCCTGGGACCCTCCAAGCCAGGCAGTGAGGCTGACTACGATGAGGTGGCAGGGAGTGAGAGTGACAGGGAAGAGGAGAATGAGGAGGGGGTTTTGAGGAAAGGACTGGCACTCCATAGCCAAGCAGTCTACATGGGTGATTTTGCCCTGGTGGAGGATCCAGAGACTCCCTTTAGCCCGAGGCTTAATTTGAAAGACTTTGATGCTCTCATCGTGGACCTTGAGCGAGAACTCTCCAAGCAAATCAATATCTGCCTATGAAGAATTCTCTCAGGACTTTACAGTAGAGCATTGCAAGCCGAAGTTGCCTCACCAAGTTCTTTTTTATGACTTGCAACCTATGCCAGTATTATTTCTGGTCACAGATTTTAACTTGTGGGCTTTTGCTAATATTGAAGAGCCAACATGAGTTCTCAATGATTGATTGAAAGGTCACCGTTGCTGGGATTCTCCTCAATTTATATGTGAACAGGGAACAGAAGAGAGGCAGGAGCTCTCATATATTTCAGTGAAATCTTCCTCAACTTGGAATCTTCCAGATGTGTTGGAACTCAGTTCCTATATTTCCCAGCCATCATGGCCAACACACCTGTAAGGCACATGCTGGGAAAGGCAGCTTTAAATGCTTCCAAGGAAGAGAGGATTTATCCATGGTTTTCTTTTCTTGAAAAGGTAAAATTGAAAATGTAATGTTTTTGTGCATGTTTTCCTAATCATTCAGAGCACTTTACTCATTCTTGAAGGTAGATCAATGTTATTCTGAATCTGTATCTAGAGTCCAGACTGAAACACAATAGCTTGCCAAAGACTGAGCTGTGTGATTGGGGCTCCTTTTTGCTCCTTATTTAATCATTGTGCTCTGGGTTGGCTATACTAGGTTAAGAATTTCTTGGAATCACTGAAGAAGCATCTTTAGTGGATAATCTGATTGGTACTGGGCAGCTAGGAGCCATATCTTAAATTCCACACAATTTTCCCCATTTCAACTTTGCTTCAAGGTATTGTGGGAAATTAAAAGGGCAGTTTCAAATTAAGGGAAACACTTTGTTTTCAAAGCAGTGGAAAGATTTATAATAGCAAAGATACTACATTTTGTAATTTTTAGCTTCTTTGGCGATAGTAGCTTATCACAAAATCATATAATCATAACCATAACTATGGTATTGAGTCCAATGTACTGCTGTAGTGCAGGAATTCAGGTTTTAAAACATCCCTGTTGTAACCTATATTTGAACATATCCAGTGAGAAGGATTCCATCATCACACCGGGGAATTGATCCCATTGCAGAACATTCTATTGGACTCTGTCTTCCTGTAACTTAAATTAATTATTGCATAATGAATTATTCCTGTTCTCTGGGTTAATAGACTTCTGTTTCTTCTGTGTGATAACCTTTCAGATATTCAAGGAATGGTGTTATAACCCCCGCCCCCCACATGTTCTCACAATTAAATATTAATAAATTCTTCAATTTCTCTTGGTCTTGTTCCTTGAAAATTCTTGTTACCCTTTTTTTGAACCTGTCTCAATCTTTCTTAAGTAATAATGGCCAGAACTGGTCAATACTTGTGGCTGGATCAGCCAGGTATTTCATCTATTACATATATGTGTAATTTTCTGTTTTCAACTTAAGAAATTTTAGAATCGTCTCTATTAAATTGAATTCTGTTACTTTCAGCTCATGTCTTTATCATGATTATTACTGAATGTTATTTTTTTTCAAGGCAATTGACTATTTTAACTAATGTTATATCATTTACAAATTAGAGAAGTATTTATCCCACCTCTTCATCGAAATCAGGAGTGTCAAACTCACATCGTCACGGCATCATCACATGACATATTGCGACTTTTTCTCCTTTGCTAAACTGGGTGTGGGCGTGGCCAGCATGTGATGCATCTGGCCTGCGGCCCACGAATTTGACAGCCCTGATCTAAATCATTAATAAGGTAAATGAAGAGTACAGTGCCGAAGTACAGCATAAGATCTCTGTCCCCATGTGATAACTTTGACTCATCAAACTAGATTGATTGTTGAACAACCATAATGAGTATTTTGGGGATATTATTTTAAGCTGATTGTCTATTGTCATGCTATCCATATTACTAATTATAATATTTGGGGGAATTTTGGCAAAGTCTGAACAATTGTACCTATAGCATTTTTATAATTTACTAAAGAAGTTAACCAATCAAAAATAGATGGTTAGGTTTGTTTTTGATAGATCCAGGCTGACATCTTGTAATTATGGAATTGTTATCAGCTACCTACAGATCAACCTCTTCAAGAACCACTCTCAAATCTTTCCAGACATCAATGTCAGACTGATTTGTAAGTGGTTCCTCAGATCCTTCATTCCCCCCCTTTTGAAGATAAGGATTCTTCTCCTCTTCCAGTCATCTGGCACTTTATCAGTTCTTAAAGACTTCTCAGAAATAATGCCTAAAAGTTCAATTAGTTTTTTAGCAAATTCTTTCAGTACTCTCGGGTTAGCGTATTCATCTGAACCTGGCAATTTAAACTCATTCAGAGTAAATTTCTCTAGATTTGCTATGATCAGTCTGCTGTGACCAAGGCCCAAGTAGTGATTACCAAACACAATTCAGTCCTCAATGAACTTATTTTATTAAAACAGCTGAGAATTAATTCATTATCAGCTTAGTCCAAAACAAAATTTTTAATAACCAGTCCGTCAAATAAAATATTAAACTATTAAAACATTGAGCAACTTGCTGACCAGATTATTTTACTTTGAGTGCATCTGTATCTAAAGATACCCATTGAGCACATTCCTCAGATTTACTAACACTATCTCTGAAAATTGGGATATTTTTAAAAAAATCTTCTTTTGTTACTCTTCCCTCCTTTGTTCTACTTGTATTCCTAAATGTTCTCATATTTTCATTAATATGTGCAGCCTCATGGGCTTCTTCAACTAACCTCCATCTTTTCTCTTCATTTAAATTGTTTGCAGTTGTGCTTTTAGTATACCGGGCACCTTTTCCTAATGTCCCCAGCAGTCTCTTAGGACTTAGCATTCTTACCTGTCCTTCCTTCTTCAAAGTCTGTTGCAATCCAGTTCATTCTCAGTTCAATGCTTCAGATCTATCCTGCCATTCAAAGCAGGTTCATTGCACTCCTACTAGGATCAGAGACCCACACCCTGATTCTTTAACATGGCAGCCTCTGGAGGATATCTTATCTTGCCCCATTCTTGCACATTTTTAGCAGAGTGAATGTTATATTTTTTTAGACCGTTGGCATTCTGTTATTTGTCCCAGTAGGCTTATTCAGTTTTACTAAACAAGCTTCTTGGAATTCCAGCTCTTTCTCCACCCCAGCCAATGATATCACTATCATATCTCCATGCTGTTTAAACAGGTAAGTAACAGGGAAGAAGTATATTTATTTAAAAATCCCCACTAAAAAAATAGATGTGTCCCCCAAGGGTAGGAGGAAAAAGAAAATCCTGACCTTAGAAAAGAGAAAGAAAATACCTATGCCTAATATTGTGCAATGTGCAAAATGATTCAAATGTATGAATATTTGGAGAATGTGGATTGTTGCACATTCAGTCTTAGGGGTGAGTGCCTGCTATGAAGATATTACAGATCTATCTCTGTTTATCCTAACATTCTGCTTTTGACTACATTAAAGAAATGAAATGGGGAGCAATGCTATATCCTTTCTGTTCTGAGGAAATAACCCAGCTTTAGAATTGGAGCTCTGAAATAAGTCTATATGGAAATAAACAGGGGAAAAAATTAAGCTTTCTGAAAGTTACTCCATATTATGAGGGGATGTTGGGGATGCCCATTAGTAAAATTTTTGGGAGAGATTTTTGTTGTAGACAATGAATTGTAGACAATTAGGGCATCTGTTGGAACCTTTACACTCTGAGCTCCATTTTAATGTGCAGTGTTATAATATGATCTTACCTTCATCTAATCCAGCCATTGCTTTTTGGTAGCAGCTCAGCTCTTGAAAAATTGAGATCTGGGGCACAGAATGGTCAATTAGCTTTAAAAAAGGAGGCTGTTCACCAACGGAATGGCAGTTTCTGCTGCATTTTAATCCATTGTTATTGGAGTAAGCCAGCAGCTTCTCTATAGGTATTTATAAAGCCTTATTTATTCAAGAGAAACATAAGTACTGGGAAGAAAAAGTGAATCCTCCCCACACCTCCACCTCACTATCCAGACAAGCAATATTTGAAGTAGTGATTCTCGATCTCATCAAATTGAAGTCCACATATATCTTGGACTTGCTGAGGTTGAGAGATACTGGTCTGAAGCTTTGGAGCAAAAATGTTGAATGTTATGCTGTTGCCCATGTGTCTTGTTCAAAATATTAACATGAGATAGATTGTGGCAGCAACTGTACACTCCTAGCAACTTGGAGTGAAACTTAGTCTGTCATAAACTGAGTCTGCAGGAAAAGCATTAAGCCCATTTTAAGCAATATTCCATTCTCCACTAAAGCCTAATGTGTGGGCCTGGGGGAACCTGTTTTAAATTAGAGAGGCATTGGGCACTCATCATCCTGATAGAGAAATATGGTATGGAAGATGTAGGCTTTTTAAAGATATGTATGTCCTTATGGACAATTAAAATACTTGTGAATATATGTCTTCCTGCTTGTTTATGTTTGTATGCATTTCTTTACATGAGTGTGTGTATCAGGAGTGAAATGCTCCCGATTTGGACCGGATCACCCGATCCAGTAGCAACGGAAGCGGGTGGTTTGGAGAACCGGTAGCAAAAATCCCTCCCCCCCCCGATGCCCAGCTGAGCCGCACAATCATCAGAGGCTTTTTTTTTACTTTTAAAAGCATTTTTTCTACAACCTCTTCGGCTGAAAAAATGCTTTTAAAAGTAGAAAAAAAAGCCTCTGAGGATCGCGCAGCTCAGCTGGGATCGTCAAAAGCTTTTAAAAGAAAAAAAGCCTCTGCTGATCAGGCAACTCAGCTTGGATCGTCAGAGGCATTTAAAAGAAAAAAAGGTTTTTTTCTTTTAAATGCCTCTAACGATCCAAGCTGAGTTGCCTGATTGGCCAATCAGAGAGCCTTGGTAGTACAGTGGTCTAAGGCACCCTGTTATTAAGCTGGTTATTAAGACCAGCTGCCTGCAATTACTGCAGGTTCGAATCTCGCCAAGGCTCAAGGTTGACTCAGCCTTCCATCCTTTGTAAGGTAGGTAAATTGAGGACCCAGTTGTGGGGGCAATAAGCTGACTTTGTATAAATATACAAAAGGATGAAGGCTATTGCTGAGCACATTGTAAACCGCCCTGAGTCTCCGGAGAAGGGCGGCATATAAATCAAATTTAAAAAAAAAAAAAATCAGGCAACTCAGCTTGGATCGTCAGAGGCATTTAAAAGAAAAAAAGGCTCTGCTGATCAAGCAACTCAGCTTGGATTGTCAGAGGCATTTAAAAGAAAAAAAGCCTCTGCGGATCAGGCAACTCAACTGGGATCTCAGAGCCTTTTGAAAGCATTTTTTACAACCTCTTCGCCGAAGAGGTTGTAGAAACAATGGTTTTAAAAGTTAAAAAAAAAAAATTTGCCACGTCCACCCAGTCACAGAACCCCCCCCCACCAAACCACGCCCACAGAATTGGTAGTAACAAATTTTAGATTTCACCACTGGTGTGTATATCCAAGAGATACAGTATATCTAATACCATATCTGCATGTACATATTTATTCAGTTTGGTTCTCTGTATATAAACCCATGTCAGATTCCTGTGGTGCTATGCAGGGGTGGGTTCTACTTACCTTTACTACCGGTTCGCAACGGGCTGCATGCATGCGCTTGCATGCGCAGAAGCTTACTGATGATGTCGGGGTCCATGGGTGGAGCCTCCTGCTGGTTTTACTACCGGTTCTTGCGAACCGGTCCGAACCAGGGGCAACCCACCATTGGTGCCATGAATTGCAGACTGAAGGGAATCAATAATCCCTTATTTCTATAGTGGGAATATATTAATCACATGGGACCTATCACAGAAGACTGCTAGATGCAAGCAAAGAGACACTGCCATCTAGTTGTTTAAAGATCTATAGTACAGATATGGTAGTATAAATGTCAATTCTACATCAGCCAAACACTCAAGGATTTAATGTGTTACAGCCATTTTCTATCCAATCTGCTTGCTGGTTATCTTTAAATAGAGTGATAGATAGATGAGAGAGAGAGATTAGGTAGGATGGATGGATGGATGGATGGATGGATGGATGGATGGATGGATAATGTACCACAAGGTCTAGCTGTGGTTTAAGTATTCTAGTTGTAAGACTTTTCAGTCTGTGATTTGAAAGAGTTTTTTTCTGAAGAAACACGTACTGATTATAATTAAGAGATATAGCCTTCTGTGTTCTATTGAGTTGCAGTCCATCTACCATTGTTACTGAAATATCATCATAGAATAACAGAGTTGGAAGGGATCTCAGAGGTCATCTAGTCCAATCTCCTTCTCAAGCAGAAGACTCGATACCATTTCAGACAAATGACTGTCCAGTCTATTCTTGAAAGCCTCCTAAGATGGAGCACCCACAATTTCTGAAAGTAAACCATTCCATTAGTTGATTGTTCTCACCATTAGGAAATTTCTCCTTAGTTTTAGGTTGCTTCTCTCCTTGATCAGATTCCATCCATTGTTTCTTGTCTTGCCTTCTGGTCCTTTGGAAAATAGTTCCAATCAAGATGGCTAGATTGTACTATTATTGCTATATTTGATATTGTTGTCCAGAAAAGGATAAATTATTACATTTCCTCTAGAATAAAAAAATAACATGTAGGCAGGGAACAACCAAGAACCTGCATGCTGTGTGCGTGTTGGTTCTGCTCATCAATAAACAGACCTTTTTTCTTAAGCAACCTCCATTTTATTCCCAGCTTGGAACTGGACCTGGATTTTTCCTACAAGAAGTCCTATACATGGCTAATCATAAGCGCTATTCAATTCATTGGTACTTAGTTTATATGCTTTAGACTTACTTCTGTATTTGCTATACAAGTGAGAAGCTGTGTTTCTGCTAGGCAATTATAAATAAACTCATTATTTTTAAAACATCCTTTACAGGTAGTCCTCAATTTACGACACAATTGAGCCCAAAATTTTTGTTGTTAAATGAGACATTTGTTAAGTGAATTTTGCCCCATTTTATGACCTTTCTTGCCACAGTTGTTACGTGAATCACTGCAGTTGATAAGTTAGTAACATGGTTGTTAAGTGAATCTGGCTTCCCCATTGACTTTGTTTGTCAGGTCACAAAAGGTGATCACATGACCTTGGGACACAGCAACGGTTATAAATATGAGCCATTTGCCAAGGATATAAATTTTGATCATGATCATGGGGATGCTGCAAAGATCATAATTCTGAAAAACAGTCATAAGTCTCTCTTCAGTACCATTGTAACTTTGAACAGTCACTAAATAAACTATTGTAAATTGAGGACTACCTTTATTAGAAGCAAAAAGACTTCCCTTGAGGTGCAATCTGATGGAGGCAATACATTATTCCTCTTTATAAATAATTGCAGATGCTTTAAAAGGTTCTCATAACTGAGCTCTCCAAAAGCTGTTAAGTATGGTATAACCTGCTTTGCTTATTCAAACAGGGAGAAGACATGAAACCAGTAGAGTTACCATGTGAAGCTTTGTGAGGTGCTCTAATAACATCTGAATATATGTTGACTCTTATTTCATAAAATAAATAAATCCTCAAAAAACTGAAAAAAGTGCATGGGAACAATTTAGCTGAGAAGCTAAGCAAAGTCTTGTCTGGTCTGTTTGTTTGTTTATTTATTTAGTAAGCTACATCAATTGTTCAAGCAACTCTGAGCAAGATACAGTATAGCATATTAAAACACTAAAGCAAGTAACAAACAGCAATAAGCCACACAAAAATCACATAGTCATATTCATATTACATAATTAGGGGGGGGGAAATGGACTTAATGCCAAGTTTCTTCTGGACTCATGCTCAAATATGGAATGGGACAATTAACCACGGGCACATGTCTGCCCCCAATCCACTGCGGTGCCCCTACTGCAGCTGACCCATTGCGGGAATTTATTGTCAGCTGGTCCTTTGCATCAATTCTCCCTCACCAATGGTTTGCTAGTGCACCTCCAACGCACCCTCCTCCCAGGCAATTTGCTGAAGGATATTTGTCCCAGGCCAATCCACAGCCCAAGACAGACAACAGCATGTCCCCGCTCTGCCTTCCCATTGAACGCAGTCCCTTTTCGGCTCGGCTTCCTGAAGTGGAAACTGGAAAAGTTGGGGGGAGGGCCCGACCTGCTTGACTTTTACTTTACTTTTATTTGATTTGTATACCACCCTACTCCCGAAGGACTCAGGGCGATGAACAGCCAACAATAAAATACATACATACAAAATTTAAAAAGCAGAAATAAAATCGAATTAAATAGTTTGGCCCACACAGATTAAAACCCCAATCAATTTAAAACAAATTTAAACTTTGAGGATTAAAAATATTAAAATATTAAAATTGTTTAAAAAGAGGGAGAAAGTTAGGCCAGGCCCGTCTGGTGAAATAAAAAGGTCTTTAGAGCGCGGCGGAAGGTCCGCAGATCCGGGATCCTCCGTATCTCCGGGGGGAGCTCGTTCCAGATAGTAGGTGCCCCCACAGAGAAGGCTCTCCCCCCTGGGGGCCGCCAGTCGACATTGTTTGGCCGACGGCACCTGGAGGAGCCCCTCTCTATGAGTGCATACCGCCAGTGGGAGGCTATTGGTGGTAATAGGCGGTCCCGCAAGTACCCAGGTCCTGAGCCATGGAGCGCTTTAAAGGTGGTAACCAAAACCTTGAAGCGCACCCGGAAGACCACCAGGGAGCCAGTGCAGCTCGTGCAGGAGGGGTGTTACATGGGAGTGCAATGTCGCTCCTATTACCACCTGCGCAGCCGCACTCTGCGCCAGTTGGAGCCTCCAGGTGCTCCTCAAGGGGAGCCCCATGTAGAGAGTGTTACAATAGTCCAGGCGGGAGGTGACAAGGGCATGAGTGACCGTGCGTAAGGAGTCCCGATCCAGAAAGGGATGCAACTGGAGAATCAGGCGAACCTGATGAAAAATCCTCCCGGTCACGGCCGTTAAGTGCTCTTCTAAAGACAGCCGTGAATCCAGGAGGACGCCCAAGTTGCGCGCCCTCTCTGTGGGGGTCAATGGTTCGCCCCCAATAGTGATGGCACCAACTGACTATATCGGGACATCGGAAACCACAGCCACTCGGTCTTGGATGGGTTGAGCCTGAGTCTATTCCTCCACATCCAGATCCGCACGGCCTCCAGGCACTGGGACATCACTTCAAGGGCATCGTTGGGGTGATCTGGGCTGGAGATGTACAGCTGGGTGTCATCAGCGTACTGGTGGTACTTCACCCCGAAACCACGGATGATCTCGCCCAGCGGCTTCACATAAATGTTGAACAGGAGGGGCAAGAGGACTGACCCTTGCGGCACCCCGCATATGAGGGGCCTTGGGGTCAACCTCTGCCCCCCTGTCAACACAGACTGCGACCGGTCAGAGAGAAAGGAGGAGAACCACTGCAACACAGTGCCTCCCACCCCTAACTCTTCCAACTGGTGCAGCATGATACCATGATCGATGGTATCAAAAGCCGCTGATAGATCTAACAGGACCAGGACAGAGGAGCACCTCCTGTCCCTAGCCCTCCAGAGATCATCTACCAACGCGACCAATGCCGTTTTCATGCTGTACCCGGGCTTGAAGCCCGACTGGAACGGATCCAGACACGTCGTTTCATCCTGGTGCTGGGGGAGCTGTTGCGCAACCACTCTCTCAACAACCTTCGCCACAAAGCGAAGGTTGGAGACCGGACGATAGTTTACCAACATTGCCGGGTCCAGGAAAGGCTTCTTGAGGAGAGGCCTCACCACCACCTCTTTCAAGGCGGTGGGAAAGTCACCCTCACCCAACGAAGCATTTATAATCCCCTGGAGCCAGCCTCGTGTCACTTCCCGGGAAGCCAGCACTAACCAGGAAGGACACGGGTCCAATAAACAAGTGGTCGCGTTCAGTCTGCCCAGAATCCTGTCCACGTCCTCAGGGGTCACAGGATCAAACTCATCCCAGATAACATTCTCAGGACCTGTCCCAGTCCCTCTCCCTGAGACTACCTAGTCGGAGTCCAGATCGTCCAGAATCTGAGAGATTTTGTCATACAGATACTGAGCAAAATCCTGTGCTTTGTGTGCTGTGCTTTGTGTGCATGTAGGAGGCCGGGATGGTGAAGCTGCTTCCTTCAAGACATTCCACGCTGTTGCAGGGAGTCCCTTGGCTGAACGCTACAGATTCATGGCAAGGCAGCAGGGAGACGAGCTGACGGGCGGGCGGAGAATGTGGTACTTCTGAAAGGGAGAGATTGGCTAATAATAGAGACCTTCCAAGCACACACAGAAAATCAGGAATTCGTTTTCAGTTTCAGGATCAGGCTTCCTGAGTTCTGAAGAACATAACAAAAAAGTTTGCATAACAAAGCCCCCAAAGAAGAGGCATAATAAACGAGAAGGACGTCTCTTGGAAAAGGAACTGCCAACAATGAAAAAGAAAAGATGTTTATCCCAAAATTATTAGGACTCTGAATGCATCACTGCCTTGATATTGGGGGAAGGGGGGAGGATAAGCCTGATATTGCTTTGGGAATATTATTATTATAGTAAAGCACTTCGTTTTATAATATACTGTAGTTAGAACTTAATCTTGTATGAGGAACTGCTACTTGTTTTTAAACAAGAATCGTCATTGTTTGGGTTGGAGGGAAATGGGGCAGGGGAAGGCATAAAAGGAGAAGAAATCAGAAACAACAACCTAATAAGATCAAAGAAAACATATTGGCTAGGAGAATAAGTGTATGATAGATCAGGATTAGTGGTTTATGCTTCTATAACAAGAAAACATCTTTCTTTTAAATAGGCTAATGGGTTCCACTTTTTCTGGACATTTTCATATGCATAATATCATTTCATCCAGTTCTACCTGTGCGTGGTGGTGGTGGTGATGATGGGTTGAGTTTTTCTCCCTCTCTCCCTTGTGGGAAGCCCCCCCGCCTTGAAGAATGAAATATTTTGGGGAATATTAAAAGCAGAAGAATATTATATTTCCCCAAAGGAAGAAATTGAGAAACATGCTCTTAAAGACAAAAAGCAGACTCAGTCTTAATAGCCCCCAGCAGATATTTTGGGCCCATTAAGAAAGACCGGGCCGATCTATTCACTAACACCTTTAGGAATTAAGATGGGATTAAGAAATCTTAAACCCATTTTATCTTATTCCACTATCTTAACTTTATTCGTTAAGAAAAGTGGAAACAATACTGGTCCATTAAGAAAGGCAGGTTAGTCTAGAGGCAATAGATAACAGGATAAAATCAGTTACACATGCCTGACAGGATTAGGACTAAGGAAGTAATAATTAAGATCCATCATGAGCAGTGGTGATATTCATTTTTTCCCCCTACCGGTTGTGTGGGTGTGGCTTTTGGGGGGGGTCATGTTACTGAGTTGGCGTGGCCAACTTGCAGTCACTCATGCAACTCACCAACCCCCGCCCACCAAGCCACGCCCACAGAACCAACAGAAAGGTTTGGCCGGCCAAGTCTTCTAGGGTTCAACCTAGCTGCTTCTCGCTTCCTTCTCATGTTTACTCTGTGCGTATGAACCTGAGAAGGAGAAGGGAAGCAGCCATGTTGAATGCTGTGGCAGAGAGAAGCCAAACTTTTCTCCCTCCCTTCACAGCAGAGCTGCTCAGAAGGCAGCCGCCGGCCGCAGTTTGTCCGTTTATGGTCTCCCCTTCCTCCTGGGATCATACCTTAAAGACTGCGGCCAGCAGGTCCTTCTGAACAGCTCCGCTGCGACACCGTTCCTCCGGCTGCTGCTGTTCTCCTGGCCAGGTCTGGTCATGAGTGGCACCGGCAGGCACTGGGGTGCGTGTGTGCAGCCAGAACAGGGCAGCGGCTGCACACGTGCACCCCATTGTTTGCTGGTGCCGCTTGCGGCCAGACCCAGCCAGGAGAACGGCAGCAGCTGGAGAGACGGTGTCGCAGTGGAGCTGCTAAGAAGGCAGCCGAAATCGAGCGCTGGCGGCAAGAGGATTCTTGGCACGAAGGGCGGCCGAGCCTCGCCGTGTCACCCCACCACCAAGGTGTGAAGATAGGTGAGTGAAGTGGGCGGTGGCTCCAGGACAAGGCTGGAGCCAGGGAATGGCGCATTCCCTGACCTGGCCAAGGCGGGCGGCAAGTGGGTGGTGGCTCCGGGGTCTCAGGGAATGGTGCATGGCAAAGGCAACATATATAAAGCGGGGTGGGTGGGTGGGGAGAGCAGCGAGCGGCCGGAAGGGGCGAGCAGTGAGAGGCCGGAAGGGGCGACCAGGTGACCGGGAGGGCGTGGGTGGGGCCAGTCAGAAATGGTTGGAGAACCAATTCAAATCGCCGCTACCGGTTCTCCCGAACTGGTCTGAACCGGTTGAATACCACCCCGATCATGAGCCTTTGTGAAACTAATAAGACCAATCAAATAATAATCACACAAAGCAAGCCTCCAGATCACAAAACACTGTAAAAATATATATATAAAAATCCATGTACAAGCCAAACCAATTGGTCAGCTGTCATAGAACTGCACGCTGTGTGTGTGTTGTTCTGTTCACCAATAAAGGGAGCCTTTCTTTCCAATCAGCTTCCATTTATTTCTGGCTTGGAACTGGATCTGGATTTTTCTTCCAACACCCTTTCACCCCCCTTTTCTCTCTCTGAGAGAATGACTTTCTGTAATGATTTCATTTTATTTTCACTGATTACTATTACAGAGACACTGCTTAGTTGTAGAAGCCTTCAGAGCATTCTTGGCAGTTCCTTTTCCAAGAGGCATCCTTCTTGTTTATCATGCTCTTCTTTGGGGGCTTTGTTATGTAAACTTTTTTTGATATGTTCTTCAGAACTCAGGAAGCCTGATCCTGAAACTGAAAATAAATTCCTGATTTTCTGGGTGTGCTTGGAAGGACTCTATTATTAGCCAATCTCTCCCTTTCCGCCCGCCCGCCCGCCTGCCCGTCCCCCTGCTGCATTGCCATGAATCTGCAGCATTCAGCCAAGGGACTCCCTGCAACAGCGTGGAATATCTTGAAGGAAGCAGCTTCGCCATCCAGCCTCCTATATGCACACAAAACGCAGCAGGTCCCTCCCAGTCTCCAGTCTCCAGAGATTTGAATGAATACCTTTTGGGTGACTGGATTTTTCAATAACATTTCTAACATTGGCTCTCTTTCATTTGCAAATTCCTAAACAAATGAAGAAGTGATCCAGAAAAAGTGATAGCCTCCCTCTCAAAGGAAATAATTACAGATTTCCTAGCTAGATATTTACTGGAAAATATTAATCATTTTTCATGCTAAAGTACTAATAGGTTCAAGACTGCCTTTTGGAGATTATGGATGATAGTTTCATTGAGCTATAAAGAAGTCAAACATAGAAATGTAATATATTTTGATGTAGAAAATGTCAAAATACAGATGGTCCTCATTTGATAACCACTTATTCAGCAACTGTTCAAAGTTATGACAGTGCTGAACAAGTGATACTTACAATTGGGCCTTGAAGTTCTAGTTGTCATAGCATCCCTGCAGTCATCTTATCATGATCTGGATACTTGGCAACCAGCTCATAATTTTCAAAAAATGTTTTATTCATTTGTTTATCAAATTTATCACCATACATCTTACCTAAATGACTCGGAGCCTTGCAGCATCCCATGGTCACATGATTACAACTTGTGATCTTCACTGCTGGCTTCCGACAAAGTCAATGGGGAAGCAGCAGGATATTGCAAAAATGTTAAGTCACATCTCACATAACAAAGGTGCAGGGTTTAAATTAACAAAGGCAACTGGAAGTGCTGGAACTGCCATTGCTACATCATGTGGTCATGTGATGTCACTCTTTACAACCACATTGTTAATTGAGGATTAATTATTAAAACTAATTAATAAACTATTGAGCAGCCATTTTTACAAACTACAACCAAACAATCTAAGTATATTGAGGTAAAACAAGCAAGTATTTATCTTTCAAATCTTTCCCAAGTTTTGACTGGGAAAAGGCAGACGTTAGATTGTTGTATCGATCTGCTAGAATCTTCATAGGTTCAGCCTCTGGTTTTTATGCTTGTCAGATATAATGAAATCTTGCGATGATGAAACTTCTCTGTTGAACTAAAACCTTCTCTCACAAATCCAATGAAACTTTTCCTTGCATTCGTGATCATACCACAGACTGTTTTGCATTGAGGCACAGTTCTCACCTTTTCCACCATTAGGCTCATTTTGATGCCAATAACTACCAGAGAAAGAGGAAGAAGGGAGGGAAAGAGAGAGGGAGGGAGGGAGGGAGAGTCAGAGAAAGGTCCTGGTTTAGAATGTCATTTGAAAATGCTGGAAGGGAAGGCCAAGAACAATATATACCATACTAGTTTAACATGTGAAGTTGTAGGGCTGAATCTGTAGGACAAAATGCTACAGGCCTCAAATAGCAGCCGATGAATCTACATAACCTGACCCTGCATTTAGTTATTGTTGCTATCATCTCTGTTGCAGGGCCATTTTCCCTTGTACCTCCCCTTTAGGCTCAGTCTGAGAGACAAGACTACCCTCAACTGGCTTGCCCTTCTGGCACATAGAAGAGGAGAAATGAAAGAAGTACATTCTACGTACAGTGCTGCTTCTTAGCCTGTAACATTGATGCTCAGTTGGATCACAAGACTGCAGCTGTATTTGGCTTGTTCTTTGTGGCTGAGCCCCATTAAGAAAGAAGGAGATGGACAGAAAATTCCAAAAGTAACCTTATAAATCAGGGGTCCTCAAACTACAGCCCACAGGCAGGATATGGCCTGCCAAAGCCATTAATCCGGCCCACGCAGGACCATGAGGCTGCCCTGCCCACATTGCCCTGCCCACCCGCTGGCCCCCACCCTTCGGCCGAGCACAGGACTTACCTTCAGGACCTTTGTAGGCTGGAACTAGAAGGTAAGGCCAATGTTTTTGGCCAGCAGAATGCTTCTGGAGGTGGGGAAGGCCAAAAATGGGGCACGTGGATGCCTCAGGAAGCTGGCAGAGTGCTTCTGGAGGCGGGGGAGGCACATGGAGGCCTCCTGGGGCTTCTGCGCGTCCTGCAGAGTGCAGCAGGAGGACTGGATTGGAGGAGGAGGGCTGCCCGCTCACCCACCCGCTGGCCAGACTAGTCTTCAAGTTTCAAATGAAAGAGATGTGTTACATCTCTGATGGAACTCTGATCTATCATCTTTAAACTCCCATATCTCCCACCGCCGGAACAATCCTTATCTGAAGTGAGCTGAAGCGCCGAAACATCCAAAGTGAGTGATGCAAAAAAAATCGTTGAGGCAAAAAATCCCTCTGATCTATCCAAAGTATCATTTTTAAAACTACTAACAAAATTGCTGTGAAAAAAATCTTTTAAACTCCAACCAGAATTGTTGTATTAAAAACCCCTTAGATCGCCTTTAAACTCCCACTGGATTGGATTTCAATCCTCCACCATTTTAAACCTATACCTGATTGGAATCCTCCCACTGGAGGACCCTTCAACATAACACAAAGGACAGCATCAAAGACACTCAAACAAAACACAAAGGACAGCAGAAACTACGTATGGAAGTACAGCAGAAGCTACATGAGGAAGTAAAAGTCAGCTACTACAAAACCCTACCCTTTCATCCTACTTTACTACTTTACTTCATTAGTCATTGACTAAATGATAGAATTTTTAATATTATTGATTTATTAATTACTTGATTAGCAATGCTTAATTGATTGTCTAGCTGATTGCCTAATTAATTAATAGTTAATAAATAATACTTTGATTGATTAGAGTTTAATTAATTGATTAGAGTTTAATTAATTTAATTGGTTAGAGTGACATTGCTTGCTGATCTATTGTTAAATGATTAATTAATTACTGTGAATATTACAGCATACATTGATCAGTTAGTGTTATTGATCAGTGTGGCATTGATTAGCAATTTACTGTTTTAATTTTTAACTGATTAGCATATTTACTGTTTAACTGATTGGTTGCATGATTAATCATCAAGCAAATAAGAGATCCATCAATTCAACATTGGATACCAGCAAAATAATAATAATAATTAATTCAACATTGAATACCAGCAAATAAGAGGTACGCAACTACGCACCTACAACACAAATCTACAATGCCAAGAAAAAATGCCACTGTCAAACAACCAAGCAAACAACCAATCAAAAAGATAGATATCTCTACCAATGGCACAATCAAAAAGAAAGACGTATTTACCAATGACACAAATGACCTCTCTAAATGCTTTCTATGTACAGATTTGTGCAAGGAGATTGAGAATACCATGAAATGCTACCTATGTAAAACGTACGCCCACCACACATGCTTGGGATTAACAGAAAACATAGTCCAATTTCTAGAAACATCCCCAAATTCACTTACCAAGCTCTGTCCTCTAACCCAAATTAGACAAATTTATTGTCATGTTTGATAGGTTCGACACCATGGAAACACAGCTATCATCCCTTAACAACACAGAAACAACTTTACTGTCATCCCTTAAAAACATAGAAACACGTTTAACATCTCTTGAAAACAAATATTCAACACAGAAAAGTGAACATCCAGCAACTCAAAATTCTATGCCAATTCAACAACCTCAACCACAACCAACTACCTACCCAACAAATGACATCTCCTTACTCATCAAAGATGCCATTGAACAAGAACAAGAACGTCCCAATGCTATTTTATTTGATCTTGAGGACAACAATGAAACTGATGATATTACAAAGGTACGTAACATCATCAGTAACTATCAGACACCAACCATCTCCCCTGAGGAAATCATCAGTGTTTCCCTCGATGAACCTGACTTCAAGTACGGCGACGGCTCAGTTGCTCCACGCTTCTGCAGAGTTGTTTGCAAGAATGAGACCAGCAAATGAAAATTCATATATACTATCAACTCAATTGCCAGAAGCAACACCAACTACAGTATAACAAACTTCACTCAAGGCCTGACCTATCCACACTACAACACATCTACTCCTGTGAACGACGTGCTGAACTCAAAAGACACCAAGACCAGGGAGAAACTGACTACTACACTGACTGTATTAAAAGTAAGAACGGCCCACATCTCAACAACAACCACCCCACCACCCCAACAAGCAATACTAGGCATGCACACCCCTAACATCCTCAAAATCCACTACCACAGGCCTTAAATGCAAGCTACTTAACACAAGAAGCCTCATAAACAAAATACCAGAATTCCTCCTCTTATTAAATACAGCTAAATACAGCCAACGTTGATTGGAGCATGTGACCGACTGGGGGAAAAAGGGGATGGTTTTGGGAGCTTTGACTTACTGAAGGAAAACCTGGGCTTTTCAGATTTGGGTTTTCCCAGATGTGCCAGTTTGCCTATTCTAGTAAAGAGAACTTTGGGAAAAGATAAAAATAAAATAAATACAGCTATATTTGATATTATATTTGTCTGTGAGACATGGCTAAATTCCTCCCTCCCAGACCCCATTACCACGGTAAGAGACCATCATGTTTACCAGTCCGACTGTGAACTCCGTAGAGGAGGTGGTGTTGCTATCTTCTATAAAAAATCCCTAAATCTAAAAAATATTCAAGTTACACAGGAACTTGCTCTTCCTGAGACCATCGTATGCAAGCTCTCCCTAAACACATTTCGCTTCTTACTTTGTTACTGAGCCCCTGATTACAACCTTATACATGCTAACAAACTGACTTCACTACTAACATGGGCAGCCTCTTCCCACACCCTCTTATCTTTCTTGGTGACCTCAATCTATCTCTTATTAATTGGATCCTTAATGAATGTACAACAGAACCAATATATACAACCTTGTACAATGCCATTACTAATCTGGGATTGGATCAACTGGTAACAAACAACACTAGATTCAAGAACTGCCTTGATTTCATCTTCTGCCATAATTTAAACTCAATCTATGGTCTACAAATAAATGAACCCTTTTCAAACAGTGTCCATAGCATGATTGACTTTTGTCTCAATTTATGTCCTTACAAAGACGATCATAATGACGGGATCCCATAGTATAACTTTAGAAAAGCCAACTATGATCTCATAACAGACAAGCTCTCATCTCTTGATTGGCAAACTCTGTTCACTGGCTGCATCACTGCCGAAGACCATTGGAACATCTTTTTACAAGAAGTCAAAAGAATCATCAAACTACATGTACCACTAATAATCCCCCAAACCAGGAAAAACAAATTACCCATAACAATAAAGAAGCTTCAGTCAAAAAAAACCCCTCTTTGGCACAAAAACAAAACTGGCTATGTAGTTAACTTCAAAAGTCGCTACAAATCATTATGCTGACAGATAAAGGCAATTATCACAGCAAACAAGAGGAAAACCTACTACGCACTAAATCCACCCAGGCCTTCTATAATTTTGTAAACAACAAACTTAAAGACTCAGGCTCCATCCCACCACTAAAAGGGCCAAATGGGAAAGACTGTAATGAAGAAACTGTTAAGGCCAACCTCTTCAACACATTCTTCTGTTCAGTCTTTATAAACAGCAACAGATCATGCCCCACATTTCCCAATCGTACCATAACTAATCACAACATCTACTACAAGTCGATTTCACAGAAGATGCCGTTGAAAAGGCATTACACAACCTAAAACCATCTCTATCTATTGGCCCTGATGGATTATGTGCCTACTTCTTAAAAAAGCTCTCAACCACCATAGCAGAACCTCTTAGCAAAATCTACGAAATATCTTTCAGAACCAGCTCATTGCCTAACTTATGGTCACTAGCCATGATCATCCCAATCTTCAAAAAGGGTGACCCCAGCCTAGTTGAAAATTACAGACCAATCTCATTATGTTGCATCACATACAAAGTCATGGAATCTATCATAAACCAATCCATCACCTTCTACTTAGAGACAAACAACCTACTCTCTAACAAGCAGTTTGGCTTCAGAAAAAAATTGTCCTACAATCTGCAACTCTTACACTGCAAAAACATATGGATTTCACAACTCGACCAGGGTAAAGCAATAGATGTAATTTATATAGACTTCTGCAAAGTCTTTGATTCAGTAGTACATGACAAACTACTTCTAAAACTAGAATCTTATGGCATTTCCAGATCCCTGCATAAGTGGATAGCTGCATTCCTAACAAAACAGGCAACAAGTAGTCAAAATAGGGAATGCCCTGCACCTGTTAACAGCTGTTCTGACCTAGGCTTCCTGATATAGTAAAAAGCACACAATTAGTCCCAACCCCCCCCTTTTTTTATTTTAACGGCTGTGAATTCCTTTCATTCACAGCACGTGCTGAATCACCAAGAGTTTATAAATAATTCAACAGAAGTCTGCCACAGTCCTTTGGATAAGGCTGGTAAATACCCACCTTATCTTCTTTGACATGCTGCCAAAGACCTAATTGGCAATTATCTTGGTAAGGCCACACAGAAACACAGAGTCAAAAACGGAGCTTCAAAGTACAAACCGACACCATCCACAATGTTGCTTCCTGCAAAGAGCAAATGTGCCTTTGCTCTTCCTTTATGTCTTATGGGAGGGGCCAATGATCTCCAAGCCTTACTCCCGAGTCGTCCCTTTTGTTTTAATTATTCTTGCCTTCTGGCAGCTCTGCGCATGCATGCACTAGGAACAGGCTCCCCCGTTCCTCTGCCTCTCCGATGCGGAGAGGCTTCAGAGTCCGCACTTAACTCACAGATGGCCCTGGTCCCATCTCTGCCTCTGACGTAGAGCCCTCGTCCAAGCCTTCCCCAGCCTCCTCACTGTCCAATTCTGCTGCCAGCTCCACCGGCTGCTGGCAGACCACAACAACAGTGGTGTCTCCCAAGGAAGTGTTTTAGGACCCACACTCTTTATACTTTACATAAATGACCTTTGCAATCATATTATAAGCAACTGCGTTCTCTTTGCTGATGATGTAAAACTATTCAACACCATTGACAATGCTGCTACCCTGCAAAAAGACCTTGACTATCTGTCAGAATGGTCAAACAATTGGCAACTCCAAATCTCAACCAACAAATGCTCTGTCTTACACATTGGCAAAAAAAAATATCAAAACACAAAATATAAAATATGATACAACCTCGTACACGACCCTCACTCTGTCAAGGACCTTGGAGTACTCATCTCAAACTATCTAAGTGCCAGAGCTCACTGTAACAGCATCGACAAACAGGAATTAAGAGTTGTTAACCTAATTTTGTGTATCTTCTTCTCTGGTAATATTGAACTGAAAACTAGGGTATACAAAACTTTTGCTAGACTGATTCTTGAATACAGCTCATCTGTCTGGAACCCACACATTAATAAAATCGAATGAGTCCAGAGATATTTCATGAGAAGAATCCTCCACTCCTCTGCCCACAACAGAATACCTATGCCACCAGACTTGAAATTTTGGGCTTAGACAACTTAGAACTTCACTGTCTTCGGTCTGACCTAAGCATAGTACATAAAATTATCTGCTACAGTGTCCTACCTGTAAATGAATACTTCAGCTTCAACCACAACAATACACAAGCACACAATAGATACATATAAACTTATGGTAAACCATACCAAACTTGATTGCAGAAAATACGATTTCCGTAACAGAGTTGTTAATGCCTGGAATGCACTACCTGACTCTGTGGTTTCTTCCCCAAACCCCCAAAACTTTACCCTTAGATTGTCGACCTCACCCCATTCCTAAAAAGTCTTTAAGGGACGTGCATAAATGCACCAGCGTGCCTACCATCCCTGTCCTAATATTCCCTTTTATTCGTATCCATTTCATGTATTCATAATTATGTTTATACTTATATCTATTATCTAATACATGCTTCACAAATAAAATAAATAAATAAAAACAAACAAACAAACTTTTGGGGAGACCGCGGGATTGCCCTGCCTCCCCACCGGCCAGCTGGTCTTCGGTGTGCATCTTTCACATCTGTTCTCTCTCTCTTTCTCTCTTTCTCTCTCTCTGGACATAGATTCCCACCACCCAGCACCAGTTCAAGGGTTCCCTTCCCAGGGCACAGACAGAGGGAGAGAGAGATAGACAGAGAGAGGGGGGAGGGGAAGGAAAGAGAGAGACGGATAGACAAGAAACAGAAAGAGTGGGGGAGAGAGATGTTGATTCTAAGCTCCTTGGGGCTGAGAAGAATTGCTGCAAAACTGAGTTTCCTGAAGTGGACCACTAAACTACTAAACAATTTAAAAATTAATCTAGTAAAAGAAAAGTCAACCAAAAGCAAACAAGCAAATAAAACACCCCAGAAACAAAACAAATTAAAGTTTAATTTGTGTGTATGGACTGCTAAATTGGCCATGCCCACTCAGTCACATGCCCACCTAGCCATGCCCACCCAGTCACATGACCACCTAGCCACGCCCACCCAGCTGGTCTGGCCCCCCAATAGTCTGAGGGACCATGAATTGGCCTCCTGTTTTAAAAGTTTGAGGACCCCTGTTATAGATGGTAAGAGATTTGAAGGAAAGACAATAGCCACATGCATAACCTAAGGATTATCATAAAAAGATGGGATTATAAAGAATTTCTGAACCAGTACAAAAATATTTTTTTAAAAAAATTGGGCAATAGATAACAAGGAAAACAAAACAAATTTCTAATGTGTCATTTTTACAGTAATACAATGGGCTTGTGGAACAAGTATTCCACCTTACTCTACTTTATTTGGATTTTTCTTTTTCCTGAAAATGCCAAAGTTAATTCTGAAATTCTGGGAAGGTCTTGAATCCACTCTTTTTTGCCTTGGTCCAGGAACTTTCCCCCAACTTCTCATCCTGGTATGTCCTGGTCTCCAAAAGAATTCAATTCTCTTGAAGCCAGTAAAGAGGGAAGAGCTAGAATCCCATGCAGATAATTTTTAGCTTACTTTAATTCATTCGGCAACTGTTCAGAGTTATGGTGCTTCTCTGGTGTTCCAGAGTTATGGGATCGGCCAAGATTCCTGTCATTAATCAAAACAATCACATGATGTTGCACTTTACAATCATATTGCTTAGTGATGACAACCCTGATCCCAATTGCTGTCATAACCCATAACCTATTCTATCAGTATATGTGACCCAAATTCAGTTCAGAGGTCATGTTGGTTGACCATCTGTTCTGTGTTGAAGATTGCCATATAGCATTAATGAATTCTTCTTAGTCTTATCTAGACTAACAATGTCATTTTGATTGATCAGTATGGGTCTGGGTAAGAATCATAAATATAGGGCTCAATTGTGGTTGAGGACTACCTGTACTGCATAATTTTATATAGAGGTGGAAATATCCCCCAATAAATTATTTTAATTTTTAAATAATTTATTTTGTTTTAAATAAAAAATGGCCCAACACTTATTGATTCTCCATTGAGAACATGGAATGCTCATGAGATCTCATCAGTTTACAATTTTTGTTAAATGAAGGTTGGTGGGCGCTATCTAGAGGTAATATGGGCATTGTGGCACCTGCACACACCAAGGGCATGCTCAGATACAGGAAAGAGCCAATGAGAACTGCTGAATGGATTTCACAATGTTAAGAGAACCCAAGCAGAAGGCTACAGAGCCTCTGAAGTTAGATGCTCTGAGCTGAGTTCTTGCAACAAACCATTGGACCTCAAAGTACAGCATACCTGTCGCCATGTTCTATGTGTGTCCCATCCACCCACTTCCAGTCATCTTCAAGCACCTGGTCAGTAAGGCCAATCCAGCAGGAAGGAGCCTTCATGATGGTTGCAACATGGCCCTGTCTCACACACACACAAAATAAATTCCAGAACAGTAGATGATGCCAACAATTAAAAAAAAGGCAAATACATTTTATGGACAGCTTGGTTTGCTAATGGTAGAAAAGTTCTAGTATTGGTGCATTTAATCCAATACATGTTGTATATTGAAAAAGATGCAACCTCTTTTGTTTAACTCAGGTGGCTCTTTTTTTTCCTTCTACCTCTCTCTGGTCCAAGTTATTGAAAACTATTGTCAGTTTCCCATGAGTTTTAGGCAAGAAAAGTCCTTCGGGAGTAGGGCGGTATATAAATCCAATAAAAGTCCTTCGGGAGTAGGGCGGTATATAAATCCAATAAAAGTCCTTCGGGAGTAGGGCGGTATATAAATCCAATAAAATAAATAAATAAATAAATAAGAAACCAGTGATAATTAATAGCCTTCAGATGCTTTGGAAAGTAGATTGACCCCCTCCTCTCTGTGGCAGCCCCTCAAATATTGGAACACTGCTATCATGTCTCCCTTGGTCCTTCTCTTCACTAGACTAGGTATGCCCAGTTCCTGTAACACTTCTTCATATCTTTTAGCCTCCAGTCCCCTAATCATCCTGGTTGCTCTTCTCTGCACGCTTTTTAGAGTCTCAACATCTTTTTTATAGTGTGGTGTAGGGGTGAAATCTAAAATTTCTTACTACAGGTTCTGTGGGCGTGGCTTGGGGGGTAATGTGACTGGATGGGCATGGCCAATTTTTTTTTTACTTTTAAAACCATTTTTTCTACAACCTCTTCGGCTAAGAGGTTGTAAAAAATGTTTTCAAAAGGCTCTGACGATCCCAGCTGACTTCCCTGATCGGCAGAGGCTTTTTTTAAAAGCCTCTGCCGATCAGGGAACTCAGCTGGGATCGTCAGAGCATTTAAAAGAAAAAAAGGTTTTTTTTCTTTTAAATGCCTTTGACGAGCCGTGCGATCATCAGAGGCTTTTTTTTTTCTTTTAAAAGCATTTTTTGGCCGAAGAGGTTGTAGAAAAAATGCTTTTAAAAGTAAAAAAAAAAAAGCCTCTGATGATTGTGCGGCTCAGCTGGGCATGGGGGGGGGGATTTTTGCTACCAGTTCTCCCAACCACCTGCCTCCATCGCTACCGGATTGGGTGATCCAGTCCGAACCGGGAGCATTTCACCCTGGTGTGATGACTAAAACTGAATGTAGTATTCTAGGTGTGATCTTACTAAGGCTTTATAGAGTGGTATTAGTACCTGACTTGATCTTGATTGTATCCATCTGTTAATGCAACCTAGGATTGCATTGGCTTTTTTGGCTGCCGCCGCACACTGTTGATTCATATTTAATTGGTTGTGTACTAAGACTCCAAGATCCCTCTCACAGTTACTGCTATTAAACCTGGTTTCACCTAGTCTATAGGTGTACTTTTGGTTTTTCTTGCCTAAGTATAAGAATTTACTTTTCTCTACATTTAATTTCATTTTATTAGATAGGCCCCAGTGTTTAAGTCTGTCAAGATCTATCTGGAACTTGAGCCTATCATCTAGACCTGTGATGGCGAACCTAGGGCCCGCATGTCACATGTGGCACACAGAGTCCTCTCTGTGGGCATGCATGCCATAGCCATCTGCTCTTCTGGATTCCGGCGCACGCATGCCATCTGCTCTCTTCTTGGTTCCGGTGTTGGCTGGTGAAGAGCTGCTCTCTTCTGTCCAAGACCAGCTGGAAGAGAATAGTTGGCCGGTGTGCATGTGTGCCAGACCAGCTGTCCAGTGTGCATGCAAGCAACAGGACCCGGAACAGCAGCTGGTGATGGCGTGCATGCCCACAGAGATGACAAAGTGGGAAACACCAACTGCGGTACTGGAAGCAATTGGCAGTTGAGGGTGAATGAGCCTGAGAGGCAGGCAAGGTTGTAGGACACGATGGTTGAGGAAAAAATGGCTTTGGTTTAATAGGAACCTTATTTAGAGTCTGGGGGTCCTGCCCCTCATTCCCGAGCATCTCACGGGGTTGCAGTTAAGTCATTTCCACGGGTGATTCACCCTCCCATGACAACACCTCCGGATGCCAAAAACATCCTTTTCTTTGTTTAAATGTCAGCCGTGAGAGCCGGTACATGTAAGATGCCGGTGAGGTCTAGCTTTTTGCTTAGGTTTGTCTGGCTGTCGGGGGGAAAATGGCTTCTTCCCCAGGCCCCCATCCATTTTCCCCCCGACAGCCACACAAACCTAGGCAAAAAGCCAGTCCTGACCAGCACCCAGCTTCAGTGGACTTGCAGAGGGCAATCGTGAGCTGCCACTTGCATCAGGCTGGACTGGGGAGGGAGAGCGCAAGCGAGTGAGTGAGCACCGAGGAGATGGCAGGAGGAGGGAAGCTGGGCAAAGGGGCAAGCGAGGGGCGTCCACAGCATGCCATAGCACATGCACTTTCTAAGCCTGCCTAAAGCAGGGAGGGAGGGATACACACACACACACACACACACACACACACACACACACACAATCCAATCTGTGTGTGTGTGTGTGTGAGAGAGAGAGAGATAGAGAGAGATCGATTTGATCCAATCTCAGAGAGTTATATCAGGGCTGGTGGCATTGTGCTCTCTCTCTCTCTCTCTTTCACATACACACTCACACCCACACACACACAAAGAGGTTGGATATTTTTTTTCTTTCCTCCCCCCCCCCCCCCCCCCCCCCCCCCACCGGAGACCCCTGGATTCCCTCTTCAACCTGGCCCATACAGGCACCACCCATGCGAGTGATCACACCCACTCAGTGAGTTGGTCACACTCACTCAGTCACATGATCCTCCCAGCCATGCCCACCTAGACAGTCATTAGGAAGAACCAGTTCTTCCTACTGCTGCAGTTTCAACTCCCTCTATCACTTCTCTGTTTGTAAGAATTAAGTCCAGTAGAACTGTCCCTCTAGTACCCTCTTCTACCTTTTGGACAACAAAGTGGTAAACTAGGTTGTTCAGGAATCTATTCGATTTTATAGCTACACATTACCTACACATCCTTATTTTTATCTACATATCCACTGAAAGCCAATTTTTAGGGAGTGCTATATTTACTAGTTAATTGTATGGGAACAAAAAAGATTTCTGTAAACTATCAGCACCCAGATGAAATTGTTCAGCAATAGATTCTCCCCACATTTTTGATAATCTGGCTACTCCTACCTTTTCCTCTATGCTGTTGATCATCACTAGGTGGAATCCCATAGAGGTGCATGATTGGTTGGCCACATCCCAAGTTCCTGGAGAATAGGAAAAGAAGTAGTAGCTTCCCTGAAAGAAGGTCCAATCCATAGAAAAGGGGTTGCAAGCTGGATTGAGAAGGAGAAAAATATATTGCCACCTTAGAATTGATTCTGATGTTGTTGGTGTGAAATTATTAAGTGGAATTTTGTAACCATAAACTTCACTGTTTGGTTGGAATTCCAGATTTAAGTGCCATACCTCTGTCACCAACCCAAATGTATATATAAATCCTGACATGGGAACACCATCATTTTGTGTGTGTGTGTATTTATATTTGGGATAGTAAAAGACTTAGGCATTAGCTACTTGCACTTCTAATTATTGTGCAGGAAATACATTTACATAATCACAATGATTGCAGGGTAGTGAATGTAGACTGAAAGAAATACAGTATTCTAATTTAGATAACATAAGCATTCAACTAAAAGGAGCTTAAATGTCAAGGCTCACTATCTCTGGGAAAGATCCTTATTTGAATATTTTCAAAAGAAATAAGTCCATGATTTTCCTTGCAAGTCAATTTAGTCTTAGGTCTTTACTGAAGAGATAAAAGTACTGAACCCAAAATATATAAATAATGCAGATCAGGTTTATGTCTGGTAGAATAAGATTTAGGTGGTATCAGTGAGACAAAGATAAAAGGCCTTAATTATAGTACATGTAATATAGAACTTTTGCTGCTAGGAAGATTCAGATGCTTATTTTGCTCCCTCCGCACATCCTCTGACAGCTGCCCCATCTGATTTCTAATAAGATTATGTTAATAAAAAAAAAGAAGTGCAGCCCCTTCTCCTCCATATAGAGCACTTGCCTCCAACAATCCATATTTCATATAATACCTGAGCTCTAACATAGCAATCACAATCACTGAAGATGATGAGATTGCTGTATTTGAAAGTTTATCTACCAGCCACCCAAAATGGCCAAGAAAAGCCAGAGGGATGTTGTTATGCATAGATAGGCTTCCTGGATGCCTTAACCAGGGAAGTTTGCTCTGTGGAACATTATGAATATCTGGTGATTGGCTGTGCCAACCATTCTGAGAACACCTCACTGAGCTCTCCAAATCCTAACGGATTACGAATTCCATGTCTACCATTCCATATTTCTGTTCTTCATTTATAAGGAAACCATTTCCCCACCTCCACTGTTGAAAAGGGCTTTTTTCTCCATAAAATTTCTGACTAAAGTATATCCCACAATAAATTTCAGAACAAGGGAATTACTTGGTCTTTGTTATATGTTTGGACTACACCAGTGGTGGGTTTCAAATTTTTTTACTATTGGTTATGTGGGTGTGGCTTCGGCATGGCATAGCTTGGTGGGTGTAGCTTGGTGGGCGTGGCAGGGGAAGGATACTGTAAAATCTCCATTTCCTCCCTAATCCAGGGGAAGGTTACTGCAAAAACCCCATTTCCTCCCTATCAGCTGGGACTTGGGAGGCAGAGAATAGATAGGGGCAGGGCCAGTCAGAATTTTTATTACCGGTTCTTCGAACTACTCAAAATTTCAGCTACCAGTTCTCCAGAACTGGTCAGAACCTGCTAAAACCCACCTCTGGACTACACCCCAGAAATCAGGTGGAACTAAGATGGAAGCTAAATTTAAATTTAATTTAATTTAAAAGCAATTACAGTTAATTAAGTAAACAGTAGCAAGGCAGAGTGGTGAGCTCCAGATAGGCACTATTTTCAAAAATGATATGAACAGTCCCAAATATGTAATCTCTGAATTTCAGCATCTGCTCCTTGCTGAGAAGACAGAGATGAGCCATATATTATCCATATATGATTGAAGCAGAAATAGCTGCAGAAATGACCCATGTCCTGGGTAAGACAGAACAGCAGTTTTGGCTGTCAGATCTCAGGGCATCTAGAGCCTCCAGGCACCAACACCCTTCCCTCCTGGATAAAGTGAAGAAGTCCTTGAAAAAAGAGATGTTGCAGAGACTCACTGCTGCAGATGTTGCTATGTGTTCCATAGATGAGCCAGCGACTCCAGTGCCCATTCTGGCTATACAGCATTGCTATCTTTTTGGCACTATTGCCATAGTTGAAGTACAGATCTGTGCCCTGAAGGGCCAGCAAGTCATGGTCGCGACACTCCCAGTGTTGAAATGATCTCTGCACATTGCAAGGCTTCAGAAGGATAGCCACCCTGTTTTTTGCTGTGGAGGCTTCCACACATAGCTGTGATGCCACATGACGAAGGAGGCCTCTGGAGAGCCACTGAAAGCGCTGGCCTGGGGCATCAGGGTCACAGGAAACTTTGATGAGATTGTTGGGCTGTTTTATAGTCATGCAAGCATTGTGAGCTTCATTGAATAGTAAGAAGGGGTCAGGTACTAGAAGACGGAGTGGAGTTAGTGTAGAAGAAGGATAGGCAAAGATGAGCCAGAAGGGGGGTAGAAAGAGGGAGAAAAACAGAAAGAAAAACTTAGGTCTCTGCTCAGCATCATCAAAAAAGCACCAAAGGAAAGGAAAGCCCCACAATTCAACTCTTATTGAAATGTGATTTGTTTTTCTTTTTTAGGCATACTTGAATGAAATCTCTTAAAATTTTAGATCCTGACAGGCCTAAAAGCTATCAGATGCTTGAGAAGTATTAAGGATCTTCACACTAATGTGATTGCTACACTAATGTACTAGTATGAATAGCCCATAACATGAAATATAATCAAACATTACATGCCAAACATTTATGTAAGATTTTTCATCAATCATAGATAGGAGAAGCCAATTGCATGCAACTATTCAGATAGAGAACATTTAGTAAATGTAAAGGTAATAAAATACTTTTAAAATATTTTTTCAAACCATTTAAAACTGAGGGCAGACCAGTGGAGGGAATCTGGAATGATGACCCACAAGCTTGCTACTAGTTAATCTGGCTTTGATCAAGTAAATTCTCACTCACTGTAAGATCCAATCTCTTTTTTTACATTTTTAATATTTGTCTAAATAACTGATTTTCTAACACAGTTTTATTTGTTCATCTGTTAATTTATTGCACAAACATTTATATTCAATTTATTTCAAAGACGTTGGGCTGCTTAAAATAAGATAAGAGTTATAGCAACTTGTCCCTAAAGAAAAAATAACCTAAGTGGTACAGGTGTAGTTTTTAGAATTAATAGTAAAGCAGAAAGATGTTAAATAATTTAACAATGAATATTAAACTTGAATAAACAACAGCCAGCCAAATGATCCTAAAATGGAAAGCAACAAGAATAATTGTTTATAGATTTTCATAAACTATATTAAAAAAGCAATTATTTATTAAAACACATTTCCTATTTCTGTTCGCAGTTTTCTTGGCATTAGTTCTGAAAAATACTCCAGTGAAGAAAAAGAACATTCCTTTACTATTTAAATATTAGTTTGCTTAAATTCTTTCCTTGGAGAATTGGTCCAATTTTTTCCCTCCCAAGGAGTTAACACTTTTTACATGGTGTGGGTACAGTAGAAAACTAGTGACTTTGAGTGCATTTCTAGTGGGATGATGGAAGTCCTGGCAAAATCCTGGCAAGGATCATCACTCTTGATGATACTGTAAGGTTAATATCTAAGCTAAGAAACTATCTAACAGGGTTGAAGATCAGTGGAATACTTCAGGAGAAGGGGAACCAACCCATCTAGCAGCAGGAATTCCAAAACCAGACCCAGAAGGTAGTAGCAAGCCACTTTTGTACTGGTGCTAGTAAAACTGTATGGTTCTGGATGTAGCATTTAAATGAAACTAGGTGACAGATGATGGAGTACCTAGCTTGGCAGGCATTCCTTCAGTTCAATGTTCTCCAAACTTGGCAACTTTAAGGTACATAGACTTTAACTCCCAGAATTCCCCAGCCAGTTCTAGTTAGTGGGAAAGAACATGGAGTTTTCACAAATAGATCTAGAAGTGATGATAAAACCCAATGTGAGCTGCAAGGAAGGATGGTTGCTAATAATGTCACTATTGATAAAGAAAGTTCTAGATATACAGGCATAAATGTATGTATATACAGATACGGAGACATAAATAATTGGAATATGGAATGTAATGGGCATGAACCAAGGAAACTTGAGAGTGACAAAATAAGCTGACTTTGTATAAATGTACAAAAGTATGAAGGCTATTGCTTAATGCATTGTAAGCCACCCTGAGTCTCCAGAGAAGGGCGGCATATAAATCAAATTTAAAAAAAAAATGGAAATGAAGCGTACTAAATGGAATGTTTTAAGACTAGGGGAGTTTTGGTAGACCAGAATGAGCCATTTTAAATCAGATTATAGTATGCAGGACATGAGTCCATATAAAGGAATGGAGTGGCTATGACAGTCCACAAAGATACTGGTACATACGTACTCATTTTTAAATAATAAGAAACAGGATTTTATTGGTCAGAATTAGTGGATATTCAGTGATTCTTTTATATACATTAATGCATTTATTATAGGTGGAAAAATAAATGACATTGAAAAACTCTAAGGCAAATTGCAAGAGGAAATAAATGCAACATTTAGAAAGAATGTAGTAATACTAGTGCATGATTAGAATACAAAGATTGGAGTATCTGTAATTACAGGAATAGTTGGGTTGGATAAGTGTCAAAATGCAGGAGGCAAATACAGACTGCTCCTAAATACCACTGGATGGATATCAGAAACAAATTGATCATATAACTGGAAATAGCAGATAGAGAAATGTAATTCTAACTGCCAGGGTACTTTCAGGTGCAGACTGTGGAACAGACCATGAATTAATAGTGTCAAATATTGGGTTAGAACAGGGGTGTTAAATTGGCGGCCCATGGGCCAGATGCATCACATACAGGCCATATCCACTCTAGCTCTGCGAAGGGAAAAAAAACATCACAATACGTCATGTGACAGCAATGTGATATGGTGAGTTTGACACCCGTGGGTTAGAATGTTTCAAAAACACCAGATATATTCTCAAGATTTGATCTGCACTTAATGTATGCAAAAGAGAACTGAAAGATATAGAAGCTATGAAAGATATAGAAGACTTCCTGAGAACTGAAGTAGAAAAATATTTCCACGATACTAAAAAAGAAAAGACCTAAGTAGTCTTCTAAATCATGCGGCGAAGAGGGGGTTGAGGGGTTTTTTATGTAAATTTTTCGTTAAACTTTTAAGGGGTCCCGGGGGGGGAGGGTAAAATTGGAACTAGGGTTGTGGGTTTGGGGGAAAACCCACCAAGGGGAGGGTTGGGCCTGGCCATGATGTGCAGCGAGGGGGGTGGGGGATCCGGGGGTAATGGGGGGGGTCGAGCTTGTCCAGATTGTGTTTTTACCATCGGTACTGTGAGCGGGCGGGGTAGATATGGCGGGAGCAAGGGGCCATATCATGTTAAGGGAGCATGCACCCGCTGTCTCCGAGCGGTAGCATGCTCCAGCCCCCAAGGCTCCACTCGTTCTCCAGGTTGCACAGACCCTCAGGGCCCGGGCCTTCGACTGATGTTGTGCAATGCCAGGTCTGTAGTAAATAAAGCCCCCCTCATTTGTGATCTTGTTCAGGAGTGGGGAGCGGACCTGGCGGGCATTACGGAGACCTGGTTGGGCCCGGAGGGAGGGGTCCCTCTGGTAGAAATGTGCCCACCAGGCTTCCACGCATTCCATCAGCCGAGGTCACAGGGGAGGGGCGGGGGAGTAGCGGTTATTATTAGAGAAGGCCTTAAGCCGAGGGAGACCACTGTTCCTCAGATGGCCGGCTGTGAGACCCTCCTTGTGAAGTGGGGTCATGGGGTTCAGATGGGTTTGCTGATCACGTACCTGGCTCCCTGCCACGTGGCAGCAGCCTGCCAGAGCTACTCCGCCGCGGTGGCGATTGATACCCCCAGACTTATGATCATGGGGGATTTTAACCTGCCATCCGTGGGTGAGGTGGCTGAGGTGGCTCAGGAGTTCATGGCTTCCATGACGGCTATGGACCTGACCCAGCTAATTCATGGCCCTACGCACACGGGGGGAAACACACTGGACTTGGTTTTTGTCTCTGGACAGTGGCTGAGTGATCTTGAGATAGGGGATATAGTCATTGAGCCCTTGTCATGGTCAGATCACTCTCTCCTTCGCCTTAACCTTCGAATCGCTGCACCCTGCTGCAGGGAGGCGGAACTGACAAAATGGTACCGCCCCAGGCACCTGATGGAACCTGATAAGTTCCAGATGGAGCTTGGGCCAATCCCCGAGGTTCTGATTCATGCCTCGACTGGAGACCTAGTGGCCGCCTGGGATAGAGCAGCTGCTGGAGCTCTGGATCGAGTCGTGCCTTTGCAGCATCTGACCCGGCGCCGATCTCACCTGGCTCCTTGGTTCACCGAGGAGCTGAGGGAGATGAAGCGCCAGAAAAGACGCCTAGAGAGTAGTTGGAGGGCCAGTCTTTCTGAATCGGACTGGAGACTGGTAAGATCTCATATTAAGAATTACCTAGTGGCGATAAAAGCAGCAAAATGTACTCATTTTGCTGCTCTTATTGCGTCATCAGATAATTGCCTGGCTGCCCTGTTTAGGGTGACCCGCTCCCTGCTCCACCAAGAAGCGCGGGAGGACCCCTTGGAGGGAAGAGCCGAGGATTTTGTTCAGTATCTGTATGACAAAATCACTCAGATTCGGGAAGATCTGGACTCCGACTGGGTAGATCCAGCGAGGGTGACAGAGGCAGGTCTTGAGAATGTTATCTGGGATTAATTTGATCCTGTGGCCCCTGAAGACGTGGAAAGGATTCTGGGTAGACTGAACGCGACCACATGTTTGTTGGATCCGTGTCCCTCCTGGTTAGTGGTGGCTTCCTGGGAGGTGACGTGAGGCTGGCTCCAGGGGATTATAAATGCATCATTGGGTGAGGGTGTCTTCCCCGCCGCCTTGAAGGAGGCGGTGGTGAGGCCTCTCCTCAAGAAGCCTCCCCTGGACCCGGCAATGTTGGTAAACTATCGTCCGGTCTCCAACCTTCGCTTTGTGGTGAAGGTTGTTGAGAGTGTGGTTGCGCAACAGCTTCCCCAGTACCTGGATGAAACGACGTGTCTGGATCCGTTCCAGTCGGGCTTCAAGCCCGGGTACAGCATGAAAACGGCATTGGTCGCGTTGGTGGATGATCTCTGGAGGGCTCGGGACAGGGGTTGCTCCTCTGTCCTGGTCCTGTTAGATCTCTCAGCGGCTTTTGATACCATCGACCATGATATCATACTGCACCGGTTGGAAGAGTTGGGGGTGGGAGGCACCATATTACAGTGTTCTCCTCCTTTCTCTCCGACCAGTCGCAGTCTGTGTCGACAGGGGGGCAGAGGTCGACCCCAAGGCACCTTATATGTGGGGTGCCACAAGGATTGGTCCTCTCGCCCCTTTTGTTCAACATTTATGTAAAGCCGCTGGGTGAGATCATCCGTAGTTTCGGGGTGAAGTACTACCAGTACGCTGATGACACCCAGCTGTAAATCTCCACCCCGGACCACCCCAACGATGCCCTTGAAGTGATGTCCCGGTGCCTGGATGCTGAAACAGGCTCAGGCTCAACCCATCCAAGACCGAGTGGCTGTGATTTCCAAAGTCCCGATATAGTCAGCTGGTGCCATCGCTGACTATTGGGGGCGAATCATTGGCCCCCACGGAAAGGGCTCACAACTTGGGCGTCTTCCTGGATTCACGGCTGTCTTTAGAAGAGCGCTTGATGGCCGTGACCGGGAGGATTTTTCATCAGGTTCGCCTGATTCTCCAGTTGCGTCCCTTTCTAGATCAGGACTCCTTACGCACAGTCACTCATGCCCTCGTCACCTCTCGTCTGGACTATTGTAACGCTCTCTACATGGGGCTCCCCTTGAGGAGCACTCGGAGGCTCCAACTGGTGCAGAGTGCGGCTGCGCGGGTGGTTATGGGAGCGAAGTGGCATTCCCATGTGACCCCCCTCATGCGCGAGCTGCACTGGTTCTCAGTGGTCTTCCGGGTGCGCTTCAAGGTTTTGGTTATCACCTTTAGAGCGCTCCATGGCTTAGGACCTGGTTATCTATGGGACCGCCTGCTACCACGAATAGCCTCCCACCGGCCAGTACGCTCCCATAGAGAGGGGCTCCTCCGGGTGCCGTCGGCCAAACAATGTCAACTGGCGGCCCCCAGGGGGAGAGCCTTCTCTGTGGGGGCACCTACGATCTGGAACGAGTTCCCCCCGGAGATACGGAGGATCCCGGATCTGCGCACCTTCCGTCGCGCGCTCAAGATTTTCTTATTTCATCAAGCTGGCCTGGCCTAAATCTTTTCCCCTGTTAAATGCAAATTTTAATTTGTTTTTTAAATTATTGGGTATTTTAATTTGTCTCAGCCAAATTATTTAATTTGTTTTTATTCTATTTTAAATTTTTGTATTTATGTGTTTTATTTTGTGGCTGTTCACCGCCCTGAGTCCTTCGGGAGTAGGGCGGTATACAAATCCAATAAAAACAATAAAAACAAAAACAATAAATCATATTGTCAGAGAAAGAACCTGGGGTAATAAAGGATCATGTCAGGCAGACTTTCAATATCAGACAAGAAATTGTAAAGAAAGCTGCATCAATAGAGAATGCCAATAAACAGAAAATCCTCTGAGTTATTTTAAAAAGAACAAGAATATCAAAGGAACATTTGCAAGAAAGGTAGGAACAGTGAAATACAGTCAGGGAAGAGCAGCAAATTAGGTTAAAAAAAGATGGAAATGTTATATTGACATTCCTTGCATGCTTCAGAGATCAAAGCAAAACTTTAATTCATGAGCATCTTCCCCAACTGTCCAGGATACTCACCTGCCTCTTGCAGTTGCCTGTTCTCTTGGTGTGCTTGTTCCAGAGTAGCAACCATTTTAGAATCTGTTCAGGCACACAAGCAGACTTATCTTAGAAAGAGCAATGCTGAGGCCACCAAAAACAGTCACATTTGCCAAATGGGGATATTTAAAAGTGTTGTCTTCCCTGGCTTTTATTGGGACAACTAACATACTGTATTTTTTGGAGTATAAGACGCACTGGAGTATAAGACGCAGCTTAGGTTTTGGGGAGGAAAATGGGGTGGGTGGGAAATCTGCCTACCAGGTATTCATCTGGCTAGCGTCCTTAGTCTGGTCAGCATCAGCACATTAGTTTGCTGGTTTTTCATCCCCAACTTGGGGATAAAAAACAGCTTCTAAGGCACAGTTGAGAGGAAGCAGCAATGAGAAAAGCAGGCAAAGCACAGGGAGATCACTTCACTCGGCTAGCGCCTAGTTAGGGCTGAAAAAAAGCTTCTTAGGAACAGCTGAGAGTTGGAGCAAAGCATGAAGATCGTTTCATTCGCTAGCACCTCGTTAAAGCACAGAAGAGAGGCGAGGGAGCAGGCAAAGCTGGGAAGATCACTTCACTTGCTAGCACCTCGTTGGTGCCTCGTTAGGGCTGAAAAAAAACTTCGAAAAAGCTACATTCAGAGTATAAGATGCACCCAAATTTTCAGCATCTTTTAGGGGGGAAAAAGGTGCATCTTATACTCTGAAAAATATGGTAGTTTATCCAACTGGGGACTATTCAGCATGCTCATACAAACATCATCAGCTTTCCTGCTCATATCGGTAACCCATTCTTGGGTTTTCTTTGATCATTGTATTCTTAGAAAATTATCCCACCACATTACCCAGAGCCACAGCTCAATTTTAATATGGAACACTTTCTTATTCCTCAAGCAAAACCAAGCATGCAACCAAATTAAGCACAGCTACTTTGTTTTGATGTACTTCAAGGTTAAATGGTCTGTAACACAGTTGTAAAAAAGAAGCCAGGCATATTTTTGCTATTCATGCATTAGATTTCTATCCTGCTTTCCTCTAGGTGTTCATGTAAGTTAGATAGCACTTTCTCCTTCACTTTTTCTCTGCAATAGCAATCTTATGACAAATACCAGGCTGAAAGAGAGATTGGCCCAAAGTCAGGTCATGAGCTGTGACTGAGGATGAATTTAAATTAGGGTCTTCCCTTTCCTTTTCCATCACTTTAATCCAACAATTTCCAACTATTTTTCAGACCAGTGGGGCAAAGCTGGAATTTTGAAAGAATGGTAGAGGTCTCTCACAAAATCCCTACTTTTGTGTGCAATTACAAAATGGCTGTCGGGGGTGGGATGGGGGTGGAGGGACAATCAGAAGGGAAATACCAATTTGCTTGGATCTCACCTGACACAACTCTTTCTAGAGTTGTGAATCTTCTTTATTAGATTCTCTCTACTATGCCTGTTTATCTTTCTCACCTGGGTAGATGAGCATACTTTCCAATAAAGCAATGAGTTGCAATAATCCTTTTGTGTGTTTGGGGGGGGGGGGGGAAAAAAAGGCACTCTTGGAATAAAAAAACACCTGGATATTGGGATTTTGTTTTGCTTCCCATTTTTAATTTTTTTAAAGTAAAAAAATCAAGTGGAACTGGGCTTGAAACTTGTTGAACACCAAAGGAAGTGTCTGCAGATACATTGGTGTTCCTGGGCTCCATGCTGGCAATCCCTAACTGGTCACTATTCTAGTTAATAGAGAAGCATGTGGCATCTACAGAGGCACAAGAGAGGGTTTGAAATGGTATATGGGTATGATAAATATGCAAACCTGTGACCAAGGGCAGTTTAAACTAGTTATTTTCTTTCCAGTAGTCATCTCCGTAGATATCTAGAGATCACACAGAGCAATTGATCCTTCAGCCACATCAATTTTTTTCTGATGGATCTGCTGCTTCCTACAAGTTCTGAATTGGTGGAAGTCAAAAGAAGGGAGACTGTATCTTGGAGAATCCAAAAATGCCATGAAGTGCTCCAGGTTTTCCCCCTCCGAAAGCTAAGCAGGAGCCCTATCTTCTACCACTAAGTAGTGGACCTAAGCCTAGATCCCAGGAAGTTTGCGTGAATTCCACCTTTATATTCTGATTCTAAGAGAATATGTTGGGGCCCATTTCACATCCCATCAATCTTTGGAGAACACTTACAGTGTACCAGTCCCAGAGCGAGCAGCAACACATTCAGGGACACAGATGTGGCCAGCACAAGGGCAACAGTTACCATGGCAGCTCTGCATGTGAAAGCTGGTTTCCAACATGCTGCAAAGAAAGAATTTGGGTTGCTCCTGCTCTCCCAGCAACTGCCCTTCCAGCCCCATATTACAAGCTTTTTGAGAAAAAAAAAGCTGAAAATGAATCTTACATTTTGCTAAATATATGTTTGTTTATTTATTTAATTCAGGCCCAAAGAACGAGGACCTTTGTAAGAGTGCAGCATAGAAGATTTTTTCAGGTTTATATACAAGAATCTGGTCAACTAAAGTTCAGCATTAAATTGGTGCCAGAAAAGGGTAGGTTGCATTTAGGAGGAGATGCCCTTGGAACACTTATGAGAATGGAACAACTCTAAACTAATAATGCACTTAACTCTGCCTCCATCCCAGCTCTGTCTGCTCTTCTACAACAACTTATAGATAGAGAGTTAATGATTTATTCTATGTACCTTCTTTATCTATCTGAAGTAAGTTTTTCTGCCTTTCTTCCAAGTTTCAAATGCTTTGGGCTCTTTCTCATGGAAACAACCTAGGTGATAGCTTGGCCTATTCCTAAATAAAGTTCCTATACATAGACCTTCCAGAGAAGCTTGGTCTTTCCATACCTGGAGAACAATCTGCAGGCAGCAGCTCTACTTCTTTCCCATTTAGACTGATTGCTGGGTCAATAGGCTCATATGTACTCTCCATCTCTGGGTTCTCTTTGGAATCTGTTGGGAGGCAAAGGAAATTTTAATAAGACATTCCCAATTGCATTCTGTATTACTGGTATGTCCTCATTGTCAAGTGCAAGCAATCAGATCCATGCATGAAAGGTTCAAGTTGATTACTTTATTATATTCTATCTATAATGATCGTCCTTCCCTGGGAACAAACAGAAAAAGTTCCATGGAATTTAGGAATAGGGACAATCCTAGATCTCTTGTGGCTAAATCCCCACTCAATCCCTCCTCCTTGCCCGGCTGAGACATTCCCAACATCACAAAGGGAAGGCCAGACCAAAGACATGAGAAATTGTGAGGCATTTGGGATTGACATATTAATCAAGACAGAACAATACTGGTTAGAATGAATTCTTGGGATCACAATAATATCTCCTACCACTGACAGAAAGCTCCTTGCCTATTTCTTATTCTTATTTTGTAGTGAGAAATAAAAAGGAATAGAGAGAAATAGAGTAAAGCTTCTTCCTTACTTGCCATTAATGTAAAACAAATGAAAGATCTATTGGTTATCAATCTACTTATTAATATCAACTATAATCAACAGGAAGTATTCTATTAATGTTGCAGGAAATCTTTACTGAAGTGATCTGGAAAATCACAAATTGTTTCATGACATCAACATTTTGCAATTTTGCAATGTTTTAAATTATAATCTCATATACAGTATATCATACAATATATGACAGCTGGAACAAATGTTAAGTATTCTGCATATGAAAATAAAAGAATCAGAGGTTTAGAAGGGACCTCAGAGGAATTCCTATCCAACCCTCAGTCCGGTATAGGAATCTTTGTACCATTCTGGACAAATAGTTAACCATCCAGTCATTTCTTAAAACTTCGAGTGATTGTGCATCCACAACTTCAAGAGGCAAGTTTTTGCTGACAGCTCTCTCAGTCAGAAAATTCCTCCTTAGTTCAAATTTGGATGTAAAGGTCTTTACAGCTTCTACCCATCAGTTCTGGTCTTACCCTCAGGGAGATTTTATTTTATTTTATTTTATTTACAGATTTTGATCTATGAAGTCCCTTCATTTATGCTATAAATGATTCATGCTATCATGAGTCTCCTTAGCCTTCTGATGTCTCCCATAAGCCTTAAAGGAGAGTGAAGGGAAACATAGTGCTTTAGTAATAACTCTGTTTCTTTTGTATTAAGTAGATCTAGTTTTCAATTTCTACTTAAAATAACTTTCCCATTCATTTTGTTTCCTTTGTAAAACATTTTCCCCTTAAATTAGTGTTGGATGAGGTAATGCTGGCATTTGTTATCCCAAGGGTATCTGTGTTTAATACATTGTTTGGGTCCCAAACAGGGGTGAAATGCTCCCGGTTCGGACCGGCTCGGACGAGTAGGTAGCGATGGCGGTGGGCAGTTCGGAGAACCAGTAGCAAAAATCCCTGCCCCTGCCCCCCCCCCATGCCCAGCTGAGCCGCGCGATCATCAGAGCCTTTTTTTTCTTTTAAATGGCTCTGACGAGCCAAGCTCTGACGATCCCAGCTGAGTTGCTTGCTAACCGGTAACAAAAATCCCTCCCCCACCCCCCCCAGCTTGCTTACCTTAGCTGCTGGTCGCAACACCTACCTTGCTTCACTTGCTGTAATACCTGCAATCCATTGCATCATCAAGGAACTGAATCTCTCTGCCTGCAATCAAGCTCATCGGTGAGCAGCTCTATCTGCCTGCCTGCCTGCCTTGTACCTTCTATTGCAGGGGTCTCCAACCTTGGCAACTTTAAGACTTGTGGACTTCAACTCCCAAAATTCCTCAGCCAGGGAGTTGAAGTCCACAAGTCTTAAAGTTGCCAAGGTTGGAGACCCCTGTTCTATTGGGTAAGTTTTTTTTCCCTTTGGGAGCTTTTAAAATATAGTTAATTGGGGTTTTTTTAGTTGTTCTTTTTTTAGACCTAGCCATTTAAAGTTTAGGAAAAGTTTTAAATTTAGCTGCTTTTATATAAAAATAAAAATACATTAAAATAAAATAATATTTCTGCAGCTTTCTTAGATTTAGTGTGTTTCTATAGTGTTTCACTTTAACTACACAAACACACAAAATCTCACAAAGCTATATGTGGAATTTTGTGTGTGTAAAGTGTGAAAGTTGGTTTTTTGGGCTTTTTGTGGTTGTGTGAAGTTCCTGCCTGTTGCAGGGGCCATTTTGGGTCTAGCAAAGCTGTTTTTACATTGTGGGTGAGCCAGTTGTGTTGTGTTGTGTTGTGTTGTGTTGTGTTGTGTTGTGTGTGTGCAAAGTGTGAAAGTTGTCTTTTGGGGCTTTTTGTGGCTGTGTGAGGTTCCTACTTGTTACAGGGGCCATTTTGAGTCTAGCACAGCTGCTTTTACATTGTGGGTGAGCCAGTTGTGTTGTGTTGTGTTTTATAGGTTAAAAAAGGGCAAAGAAGTGACATTCTCTTGGCCACGCCCACCCAGTCACCTTACCAACAAGCCACAGCCACTAATTAAGCCACGCCCACAGAACTGATAGCAAAAATTTTTAGATTTCACCCCTGGTCCCACCTTCCACAATGTTTAATATTCTTCCATAATTAAATACTGAGAATCCCAAACCAGAATGTGCTCAGTGTTTTATGTTTTGTGCAAAGATGCAGTTGGTTATTATCCCAACTGCTCCAGAAATATGCCCTCATCTGTACAAGAAACACAAATGAACTGACATTGAGAAAAAGTAAATGGGTATTTCTTTTTTTAAAAAAAGTTTTCTATTTTTTTATTTTTATAAAAATGTCAAATCAATGTGTGAACAGTGTGGCACCTGGGCACCATGCATTCCAATACAAATAAAACTGATCAGGTTAAACATTATTATTACATTCAATCAACTTATGTATTTCTAATGACAATACACATCCCTATTAGATTACAATCTATCATTATTCAAGTATTCCACCTATTTCTCATTGTTACTTTCATTTTATCAAATAAAAATGTATACATTAATATTCTTTTTATTTCTATCACTTACTCTAGCTATTAATCATGTCACCCTATCTTAAAAGGCTTTTTCTTTCTTTCCTGTCTTGCTATTAATCATGTCATCTGCCTAAAAAAGAGAAAAGAAAAGAAACAAAGTAGAGAGGGAAAATAAGAAAAAGACAATACAAAACAGCAATAAAAAAATGGAATAATTTTTTTCATCATCTCTTGCCTGCTTTATACTTTAATTGTTATACTTTAAAGGAAGGAGAGGAAAGCGGAAAAATAAGTCAAAACAGCAATAAAGAAAGAAAATGTCAGCCCCGGTGCGTCTGGTGGCTTGGAGCTGCCACTATGGCGGGCTGGTGAAGGGGACAGTATGCATGATGGCTGCAGCAGGAACTCACCTCCCCGACTTGTCCACCTTGGCACCGAGGCTGCCACTGCCTCCGTGACTCGGCCGACCTGCCTGCACTGGCATTGGGCCTGCTGCTGCCTCCACGATTCAGCTGAGAGGCGGTCTCGCTTCAGCATGCCCAGACAGGAGGCGGATGCCTCTGGATGATATAACCAGGCTCACCATGGCTTCCCTGGATCAGCTGTGAGGCGCACTCGCTGCAGCACACCCAGATGAGCAGCACATACCTCACGGTGGACTTTGCAGCCCAGGAAGGACTACAGCCACTTTGCAGGCAGTTGGGAGCCGGAGTGCAGCTGTGGGGCTCTGGCTGGCCTGACTGCCACTTGAACATCCAGAACACGGAGCTTGGGATCGCGTATGAGGGTGTGGCTGGACTGACTGCTTTGCTGCAGCTTGCCGAGGGTGTGCTAAGTGCTTAATGTGTGGGGTGGGGTGGGGCTGGGTTAATTGCTAGATGGGTTTGATTGCTTTATAAGGTGGTGGGGAGCACAGAGCGGTAGCTCCAACAATATTCTCCTTTCATTGATTGTGGTTGTCAGTATGTGCCGGTGTGGATAGACAAGGTTCTAACCATCTTCTATGTTTGGAGTCCTTCATTTCTGGAGCTGGCCGGCATGGAGCAAAGGAATGGTGGCTGGGGTCTTTGGGGACTGTGGACTATAGGACCCCACCACCCACCAGTCCGGTGCTCACCCCTTCTGGGGCCCATTTCTCCCAGTGGAGAGAGAGAAGAATATTGGATGATGACTGGAGCTATTCTACAGCTGTTGGCAGTTAGACAATAGAAGTATTGCAAGAATTTTTGGAGCCATGGGGTTCAGGGGCCCAGGCAAGAGCAGGGGATGGCAGGACTCTATGGTGGCGAGCCACCCTCCCCAGGAGCCACACCCTCAAACTATCGCCTATGGGCCAGATACAGCCTGCTGAAGCTGTTAATCCGGCCCGCATGGGACTATGAGGCTGTCCCACCCACATTGCCCTACCCACCCGCTGGCCCCCACCCTTCAGCCAAGCACAGGATTTACCTTTGTGTGGGATTTCCGGTGATGTCACTTTTGTAGCAGGTCGGGATCAGAGAGGACTCTTGGTTAGATCTGCTTCTCCCCAGCTGGCAAACGGCTTTTATTGCTGGCGCTGACCGTGAGGAGGTCAGTGAAGGTGTGGTGAGCTGAGATATGTGAGGAGGTGGCGATCCCACGTGTTGTTTAGCAGATACCTCGACCCTAGCGACTGGGGAGAGGGAGCCATTAATGGCTGCCCCTGGACTGTGACTAAGCCGTTTTGGAAGGGAAGTCCATGTTGCAACGAGCGGCAGGAGGGATTTGAAATAGTGGAATACTTGGGACAATTGTCATCGCGATTAGAGAAGGGAGAGGAAGAACTGGAAACTTTTCTTGTGTTAGATCTGCCAGCGAGTGTGGTTTTAACCATGTGTAGAGTTGCTACAGCGAGAGAGGCAAACTTTCTTTCTGGTGTTGATTGGAGGGATTAAAGAGATTGAATTGCTGACAACTTAAAGGAAATCTGAAGCTCCTCTTTGAAGTTTCCCCCCCCCCCTCCACCTGTAATTAGCCCCCCTTTGGGGGGAAGGGCTGAGAAGATGAATAAAAAAAACCTTTTTCCCTTTCCCCCCCCCCCCCCCCCCCCCCATCTGATGGTGAATCCCTGTGGAGGAGAGAACTGAGTGTTGTAATCCATGTTCTAGGAAATGTATTATTGTTGGTTTGTTTAAACCTTAAGGGAGATTTTGACTTGGTGTTGGAGGAGTGAACTCTTAAATCCCGATATTATATAGATTCAAATAACAACCATGTCAACTGCAATGACAACTACAATGACCAAAACAGGGAAACAGGTTGTTATGCTCCCAGCTGTGTCATCTCCAATTTCATCAACCTCAACGATGGTGAAGAATACGGATGATCAGACCTCTGTGGGAAAGGCTCCCACCCTGCAAAGTCTTCAGGGGATGCTCCAAGCTATGCAGGAGGTTATGATAAAGAACCAGGAGTCTATCTCCAAAAAACTTGAAAAACTTGAGGATCTTATTTCAGATATAAAAGACGAAATGGGAGCGGTAAGGGGGGATATTAAGGAATTTAATGAGAAGTTAGAAGAAATACGAGGTGACATTGTGAAGCAGGAGGGAAGAATACAGGAAGTGGAAACTAGGTTAGGTAGATGTGAAGGCCGACTGCATGGCTATGAACGTGAACAGATTTCAGCAAATAGAGCTGTAGAAGAGGAGATAATTTTCTTGGAACTTGAAAGTTCTTCCTTTATTCTAAGATTGCAAGATGTAATAGAGGAAAAAGGAGAAGATTTAAAAGGGATTGCAGGGGACATTATTTCTGAAATACTGGAAAAAGATAAAGCAGTGGTCCTTAGGGATATTGATGAGGTGTTCCGGGTTTTTACTAATTATGCAAAGAGATATAACCACCCACGAGAAGTACATATCAGATTTAGTAAAAAATCGGTGCAGGAGGAGATCTATAAGAAATCTCGGGACCGAGCTGTAGTATTTAGGGGAAAACAGATTTCAGTGTTGAGGCAAGTTCCAAGATGGGTTAGGGAAATCAGGAGAAACTACCAGCCTTTAATGCTACAGCTGAGGAAGAACGGGATTATGTATAGGTGGTTATTGCCTGAGGGTCTCATGTTCATGTGGAATGATAGGAGAGTGAAAATAGAAAATCACTGGGATGCCCAGGATTTTTATGAACACAATTTTAAATCTACACAACTAGAGCTGGAATTGGAAAGGGAGGAGGAGAGTAGAAGCTCAGAGGAATTGCAGGAAGAAAATAGTGTGGGAAATCAAGAAGAAAGGAAGGAGGAGGGGAAATTAGAGGAAAAAGGAGGGGGAGGCAGAGAGATGGTGTTACGGGAAACCCGGCAAACTAAGAAAAAAGTACTAGGAAAATAGGATTAAAAGAAGGAGGGGAAGAAAGGTGGTGATGGGGGAAGAGGTGCGACTCATTTCTTTGAACGTTAATGGTTTAAATATTCCCTCTCAAAGAAGGAAAATACTAAATAACTTAGCGAAACTTAATTATGATATCACTTGTCTTCAAGAAACCCATATTAAAAAAACTCATGAGAAATATTTGTTGTGTTCAAGTCTTGGGAAGATGTATCATTCGTCGGCAGATAAGAGGAAACGGGGGGGGGGAGGTGATATATGTGAAGGACTATTTAAACCCCAAAGAAATTTTTAAGGATGAAGAGGGAAGATTATTGCTAATAGAACTAGAAATAAGACAACTGAAATGTCTATTGGTTACTATTTACGCTCCAAATGGAAACCAGAAATCTTTTTATGAACGTATATATAAAAATTGATTGAATTAAATTATGATCATGTTTGCCTGATTGGGGACTTTAATGTTATATTGGACAGTAACTTGGACTATTCACCGGGTAATAAACTGCCGGGGGGAGAGAAGAAAACATACAGGAGAGGGTTGCCAAAGGAAGGAATTATGATGAGAGAAGAATTAGGCCTTCGGGACATATGGAGAGAGCGATATCCAGAGACAAGACAATATACATTTTACTCTCCCAGGCATAAATCATGGTCGCGGATCGACATGGCCTAGATGACACTACAATTAGGAGAGTATGTTTCCGAGGTAGAGATTGGGGTTAATGATTGGGCTGACCAGAGCCCCTTGCTTGTAACATGGAGGGGCCAACAGAAAAGGAAAAGATGGAAGATGGATGAAGGATGAGGAAGTTGTGACCGGGATTAAGAGAGAAATAGAATGTTTTTTTAAAGAGAATAAGAAAGAGGATACGAGCCTGCAAAATAACTGGGATACTTATAAGGCCTTAATTAGGGAATGGGTAATAAAATATACAATAAGGAAGCGGAGATTGGAAAGGAAGGAACAATCAAATCTAATGGATGGTTTAGGACAAGTGGAAATGGGACTACGAAACAAACCAATGGACCAGGCATTATTAGAAGAAAAAAACTCAATTTGCCACAAAATAAATTTAATTGACCAAAAAGAAGTAGCTGAAAAAATTAGGTGGGTTAAACAAGGCTATTTCGAAAATGCCAACAAGCTGGGAAGATGGCTAACCTATAGAATCAAAAAGTTAAGGGAAAGAAATAAAGTAGGTGGTTTGAAAGATGTGAATGGAAGATGGGTAATAGACGGGGGAGGTATGAAGGGAATTGTACAGAAGCCGTTAATCCGGCCCGCGTGGGACCACGAGGCTGTCCCACCCACATTGCCCTACCCACCCGCTGGCCCCCACCCTTCAACCAAGCACAGGATTTACCTTTGTGAGTTGGAAGTGGAAGGTAAGGCAGAGAACTACTGGAGGCGGGAGGGGAGGAGGGAGGCCAAAAACACAGTCATTTTTGGCTGTCAAAAGGCTTCTGAGGGCCAGGAATGCCAAAAAGGCCCAACATTGCAGCCTGTGTGGCTTCCCTTTCACTGGGACCGCCCCGCCCCACCCCACATGGGAAAGCCACAGCCACGGTAAGCACGGCCTCCAGCAGCATTGCCAAACTCTGGATGGGAATGACAAGGCGGCAGGCAGGGAAGATAGGAAGAAAGATGAGAAGGAAGGAAGGAAGGAGAAAGAAAGAGAGATTGCTGGAAAGGAAGGAAGAAAAAGGGGAGCCCAAAGCTTAAATCCCCGGGACTGGCTGGCTCTCCCACTTGCTAACTTTCTTTAGTTCAGAAGCAGCCACCTGGAAGAGGAAGCGGGGGTTTCTCCCTGAGATTTTAAAGTCCCAAGGTTTTTCTTCCTACTGCAAGTGCAGCTCTCCAGCTCTGGGAGTGTTGTTTCGGGGCTGGGAGCTTTTTCCCTTGGATTCGGAAAAAAAGGGGGGTGGGAGTGGAGGACACAGAGACTGGGGCTTGTAAGGGTTCCTTCTCTGACTTTGGATTCAATTGCTAGCTTTCTTTAGTTCAGAAGCAGCAACGTGGGGGAGGGATGTTTTATTGTTGTTCCATTGCCTGTGTTCCGAGACCTAAATTGATTAGCTGTATCAGAGTAAGCCTATTTAACTTAAAAACTTCTTTTCTTTCTCTGTCACCCCTCCAATTCTAAATGAAACTTGAGGTGGACCTGTCCTTAGTTATCAGGGAGTCACTTTCTGATCAGTCCTCCTGATTTGGCCTCTTTTAGATTTAATCAGCATTAAGGTATTGCTTGTAACATTTACTTTATATATATAATATTTACCTTTTAAAGCAGATTGGTGTGTGTGTGAGAACAAATTGGTGGAGGTTGTGTTTGGCTACAGATAATCTCAATGGGGTTTATATAATTTGAAATCTGTTCATTTTTAAATAAAGTAAGAAATGCAGATTAATATTGCTGGAAGTAGTAACAAAAGATAATTCCATAAATTAAATGCGTCAGAAATCAATTTACAATACATAAAATAAAGATATATGGTGCATTCAGAGAAATGGAATGCAAGTGGATTTTAGAGTGATTCTCTTTCCCAAATCTTGGGGGGTTTTAGTTGCAGTCTTAATTGGTGCAGTTCTCAGTCTGGTTTATTGTGTGGTCTTCTGAAACATATAATCAGGAGTTATTCTGAAGGAAATCCTGTTTGTTTTATTTTTTTTAATGGCCTATTTTAAGAAGCCTGAAGCTGCTGCTGTTCTTGTCAAGTGGCAAGAAAGTGAGTGCTCTTTTTCCCTTGGAGGGGGGTGTCTTATTAAATAAATAGGTGCCTTGGATTCAGCAAGTACAGCTTAGGAAGGACAAAGGCAAAATTGGCCACGCCCACCCAGTAACATGGCCACCTAGCCACGCCCACTCAGCCAGTCCAGTCCCCCAATAATCTGAGGAACCATAAATTGGCCCCCTGTTTAAAAAGTTTGAGGACCCCTGCTCTAGGGGCTGTGCCTGGACATCTCTGGGACCCCAGTGAGATC